GCTGCGGCGGGCCGACGGGCGCCCTCCGTCGGGGGGGGGGGGGGGGTGTTTAAGGGTCGCAAACATCAGACCTGGGTATCCCCACACTCAGGGAAGGTCTGCAGACAGCATCTGTCGCCAACGTGGCGTCCAAAAATCCCTGTGAGAACTGCTGACGCTCGAAGCCAGCTCGAGGACCCCCTCGCCACAGAGTGGATGCCAAGATGTCCATCCTCCAACCAACCCACATCCCGACCACAGATTGCCAATGTTGTGAAGACCACCCCCACCTGCAGCTGGGACTCCAAGGTATCCTTCCAAAATAAATCCTCGGGCTCTAAGAAGCCGCCATTGCCGAGGAAAGCCCGACGCGACACTGTGCGAGCTGCAACAGGAGGGGGTCGGTGGCGAGCTGAGCAAGTGGGCAACCGACGACGGGGCGCAGGCAGGGACGCTGGACCCGCTTCACTTCGGTAACGCTGGTCATTCGACACCGAAAGCAGGCGAGCAGGAGCAGCGCACGCGAGCGTCGAGCGATCATGCCTCGATCACGTGCGGCCGGTGCACCACCGAAAGAGCTGAGCCCAGCGGCCCCTCCGAACACTCGCCTGCTGCGCTGCGGGAGCTGCTGCGGGCGCTCCTAGGGAGCTTGAAGGCGGGGAAACCCCTGCCCGGTGCCGCGGCCAGTGTGGGCTGCGGCAAACATCGCCCGGAGAAGCATGGGGCGGCCATACAGCGAAAAGCCCTGCGCAACCCCCTCAGATGGGGTTTGGTCTGTCTCGCGCGGCAAGCACTCGGTCAAGCTTTGGAACGCCTCTGTCACTAGTTGAGAGGTACCTACGGTGCGCGTAATGCACGGTCTGGTTCTCCTTTCGGCCAGAGCTCCGTGGATACTTATCCCATTGCCGTGTCCCCCTGAATCGCTGCCAGGGTCGAATCATGGCGCCCCAGCCACCGGAGCCCTTTTGCACGGTGTGCATGAAAAGGGGACCCCGGCATTCCATGCCGCTACCCTGTCACCCGGCAAATATCGAGCAGCAGCTGTCATTCTACTTGAATGAGCGCAACGCTGGGGTTGTAAGCCGGGCATCGTGCTCCTCCAGGATTTTTGATGTGTCGGTAAGCCAGTGCCAGGGAACCCCGGCATCGCCACACCGCGATGGAGCACCATGGCGTCAACAAGGAGCAGTATCTGGCCTGGAAAAAGCTCATTCCCTACCTCTATGATTGGTTCGCCAACCACAACCTGACATGGCCATCCCTGTCGTGCCGGTACGCCTCGTGTGTGCAGGCGACCCGGGTGGGGTTGGGCCTCGATCACCAGGACTCTTGGCCCCCGCACAAATTCTGCCCTGTGCGGCCCCTGCGCACTCCATGCACCGACGCGGGGGGGGGTCATCTAGAGCTGCAGTGCCCCTGTGCTCCCACATGACTGCCTCGCATGACTCAGATGTTTGCCAGAGCACCCTCCCCCCATCCCCATTCAAACCCCCCCCACCCCCATTCAAACCCCCCCCACCCCCTCAGGTGGGGCCCTGTTCTGGACGAGAGCCCCCTGTCCCGCCGCCAGCAGCTGTACCTGTCCGAGCAGACGGACGGCTCCGTGCCCAACAAGCTGCTGGTCGTGACGGCGGAGGTGGCGCGCCCCCGTGTGGCCGCTGCCGAGCACATCACCGGCTGGACCGAGCACGCCAAGAGCCCTCACATCTCCCACCCCTCGGCCGTGATCTACCACCCCGGGGAGGTGAACAGGCTGCGTGAGCTGCCGTCCCACCCCCACCTGGTGGCCACCCACACCGACTCCCCCCTCGTGTTCCTGTGGGACGTGGCCTCCCAGCCCCGGCGCAGCAGCGCGGAGCCGGCGGGAGCCGGCCCCCCCCCGCCCTCCCTCCCCGACCTCACGCTGTCAGGCCACGCGGCGGACGCGCCCTTTGCGTTGGCCGCCAGCTCCGCCGCGCCTCGCCTGGCGTCGGGAGGAAAGGACGCCCAGGTGCTGGTCTGGGACCTGGGCGGCGCGGCCTGCCTGCGCGGCGCGGGGGGCCCCGGCGCGGACCCCGGCGCAGCCTCAAGTGCCCCGCCCGCGCTGGCCCCGACGCTCCGCCTGCTGGGCTCCACCGACACCGTGGAGGACGTGGCCTGGCTCCCCGGCTCCGACGCGCTGCTGGCCTCCGTGGGCGACGACCGCAGCCTGCGCGGCTGGGACTGCCGCGCCGGCGGCGCCGCGTACGTGGTCGCCGCCGCGCACAGCGCGCACGACATCCACGCCCTGGACTGGAGCGGCGGCCGCCCCGAGCTGGTGGCCACGGGCGCCGCCGACGGCAGCGTGCGCGTGTGGGACGTGCGGCGGCTGAGCGCGGGCGCGCCGCTGCTGCACCTGGCGCACCACGCCGCCGCGGCGGCCTGCCTGGAGTGGAGCCCCGCCGCGGCGGGGGCTCTGGCCTCGGGCGGCGAGGACGGCCTGCTGTGCCTGTGGGACGTGGAGGCCAGCGGGCAGGCGGGGGCGGGGGAGCACCAGGACGCCAAGCGGCCGCGCTCCGCCGTGCCCCCCCAGCTCGTGTTCCAGCATGCGGGGCATCGCTCCCCGGTGGGTGGCTAGGGGGTGTTTACTTTGGGGGGGGAGGAGATGTCCGCCACCTGGGCCCGCGCAGGGTGGGACATCATCTGTCGTGGTATGGGCAAGCGAGGTGTGGTTTCCCGGCTTTCCCAGGCTCTGACCCTCGCAGAACCTCCCAACCCGTGACCTGTGCAAGGCAGGAGTGCAGCTTCCGGGCAGCGTGCCAGCAGCGATGAGGCCCTGCCACTGGGCCTCTTCTGACACACGCCTGCCGACCCATTCCCTACGTTCCACTCCGGCAGGTGGTGGACTTCCAATGGAACCCGGCAGATCCGTGGACCCTGCTGTCTGTCAGCGACGATGTGGGCGAGCAGTCTGGGGGGGGGACCCTGCAGCTGTGGAGGGTGTCCGACCTCATCACGCGCCCGGAGGAGGAGGTGCTCGCCGAGCTGGAGTACCACAGGTCAGCGGTGCTGGGAGTGGATGGAGGGAAGGGTGGGGGGTTGCGCCGAGTATCCTTGAGGTGCCGATGGGAGCACAGAAGATCGATCAATGGGCGAAAATGTGGACAAGGGCACCGTGCTCGTCAGGATTCGAAGAGTGGAGGTGGGGTGGTCAGAAGCAGCTATTTGTACTGACGGCTATGTGAGCAGCAGGTGCCAAGCGCATGCTCCCGAGTAAATTAGGGCTGGACATTGATGCATACTGCATCACACAGACCCCCCCCATCCCCTCATTCAAAGGGACTATATCATCAGCGGATCCGAAGCTGATCTGAAGCCGATGCCGAGGGGGTCGCCGGGGTCACGGCCCGGCACAGCAGTGCCAGATCTGGCCCTGAAACAGGAGTCCACACCGGCTTGAGCTGCGAGGGAAATCGTGATGCGCAGAGACGCCATCGGACCGCATAGCTGACTACTGCATCACATGCCCTTGGATAAGCGTCACCTTGCAAGGCTGCAGCCCGTGACCAGTACTGCAAAGAATCCTGTCATGACAGAATATTATCGCTCCAGAAGCTCGTATTGTATGTGAATCGGTGAGTGGTCAGTGTAAAGTCATTTGAGTGTCGTGCAGCTCAGGCAGGACGTCGATGTTGATCTTGTGTCTCATCACCACCAGCCGCCATGGCGAGCGATTAGGGTTGGCTACCCTCCTGTATCCGTACTACACCGCTGCGATCTCTGGCTGCAACTGCGCCTCAAGATAGTCTTTTACTTTGATGAATATATCAAAAAGCGTTTTGTGTGTAGCTTTCACCGTGCTGACCCCGAGTTGTGGTGGTGGGTAAACCGTGCGTCGGCAAACCGATAGCGCCGATGCTGTCCGCTCGGAAGCACGGCCCACTTCACGATCACAAATGATTCTCTCCACATGATATCCATTCCAGTAGCTCTAGTTTGTCGGGGCCTCAGCCCTGGGTGCTGCCAGCAAATCCTCGTTCATGAGCATCGCATCCCTTGGGCACCAGCCCATGGCCGTCTGGAGTGCTGGAGGCCTGCCCACCGGCACGCGCCGTCCCGCTCCCAAAGCACCATCCCGCATTCCTCTGCGTCCCTGCACACCCTTACCGTGCTGACTGGATGTGGGGCGGCTGGACTGTCTCTGGAGCAGGTGGCGCCGGCCCTGTCGGCCCCGCTTCTGTCCATCGCCCTGGCAGCGGTGGCTCGCACCCTGGGCCTACTCCCCGATGCCAGCCCCGTGTATGATGCCGTGTGGGGCCTGGCGATGCCCATGGCAACAGCCCTGGTGCTGATGGAGGCCGACATGACCAGGTATGCAGCAAGGGGCGAAGACCGGGATCTCAGAGTCTACTTCTGACATACACACGCGACGAGTGATGCGCTGCAAGCGTGTAAAGGATACAGGCTGATGACATCTGGGCTGTCATCCCTCAGCAGAACTCCCCACCCCACGTCCCAAGCACCATCACCCTTGCTTGAGCCCGACAGGCCCCCACCTCCCATGGCGCAGGCTGTTCCGAGCCGCGCGCGACACGCTGCTGGCCTTCCTGGTGGCCTCTGCCGCCACCATGCTTGCCACGCTGCTCGCCTTTGCCCTCTGGCAACGGTGCATGGGTCCCCACGGCGCCAGCCTGGCCTCTGCCCTCTGCGCCTCGTACATCGGGGGCTCCATCAACTTTGCCGCCACCGCGGCCGCGCTGCAGATCCCGACCGGGCCCGCCCTGGGCGCAGCCATGGCGGCAGACAACGTCGCCATGGCCGGCTACATTGCGGCGCTCATGGCCGTCCCCGTGCCGCGCCGTGGCAGGAGTCTGGAAGTTGGCGCTGCGGGCGGGCCTGGCTTGCATGGTAGCTCGGTCCTCGGCGATGGGACAGGACCTGCCGACGTGGATGTCCGTCATCCTGGCCCGGCCTCCACCCCGCTGTCCGCCGCCAGCTCCCTGGCCCTGGCCGCCACGGCGTGCAGCCTGGGCGTGGGCGCCTCTGCCCTGCTCTCCACCCCCCATGCCTCCCTGGCGGCGACGGCCGTGCTGACACCCGCGCTGGCGGCGGCGGCGCGGCGCCTCTGCGGGCCGCGCGCCTTTGCGGGCGCGGGGGCGCTGGGCGGCGCGCTGCTGGCGCTGGCCTTCGCCACCATCGGCGGGGGGGTGGGGGGACCTGCGGGCGCTGACCTCCGCGGGCCCGCTGCTGGCCTTTGCGGCCAGCCAGCTGGGCCTGCAGCTGGGCATCACCCTGCTCGCGGCGACTGCCCTGCGCCTGCCGCGGCGCGAGACGCTGGTCGCCGCCAACGCGGCGGTTGGGGGCCCGGGAACCGCCGCGGCTATGGCCGCGGCGCGGGGCTGGCACGATCTGGTGGAGCCGGGCGTGCTGGCGGGCACGCTGGGCTACGCTGTGGGCACGGCCGCGGGCATCGCCGTGAGCGGCGTGCTCCGCCGCGGCGCGGCGCTGCTGGCCTGACGACCGCGGTCGACACACGCACGGAGCACAGGCGCGGCGGCCTTGAGCATGGGCGCCGACCCTCCTGTCCATGAACCCTAACCCCCGTTTCCTGAGCACTGCATCCACTGCTGCCCCTGTGTCTGCGTCGATTACATGACTGAGCGCGTGGGGCGACATCGGCTGCATGCACCAGGGAAAAAGAAAACACCGGAAGGGGGTGCGGCGCCCTCATACATGGGCTAAGGGGGGGGTGGGGGGGGGGGGTGCAGGGGACTGTGCGCAGGTAAACACTCAGGCGCGGGTGTGCCAGCCGAGGAGAGGGGTGGCGCCGGGTGTTTGTCCACTGTGGCGGCCATCCACCTCGGTGGCTGTCCACCTCAGCGGCCCCCTCTCCTTCATCATCGCCACCAGGCTGCTCACATGAGCAGGGTGGTCTCCACCAGCAGGCGTGTGACCTGGTAGGGGTCGAGGTTGGAGGCGGGGCGCCTGTCCTCGTAATACCCCGACTTCTCCACGGGCACCATGCGCCCGACGCGGATAGAGCAGCCGCGGTTGGCCACGCCCCAGGAGAAGTCGTGCATGGAGGACGTCTCATGCTTGCCCGTCAGGCGGCGCTCGTTGCCCTCGCCGTAGGCGGCGATGTGCACCGCGTGGCGCTTGCCCAGCTTCTCCACCTGCTTCTGGATGGCGTCCCACCCCGTGTTCTTGGCGCGCGTCTCGTTGGTGGAGTAGTTGACGTGCCCGCCCGTCCCGTTCCAGTCGCCCGGGATGGGCTTGGGGTCGAAGGTGACCTCCACGTTGTACAGCTCTGCGCAGCGCACCAGGATGTAGCGCGACATCCACAGCTGATCGCCGCCGTCGATGCCGGTGACGGGGCCCACCTGGTACTCCCACTGGCTGGGCATGACCTCCGAGTTCACGCCCGACACGTTCAGCCCCGCATACAGGCAGGCCTTGAGGTGGGCCTCGATCAGGTCGCGCCCGATGGCACACCCCGACCCCGCCGCGCAGTAGTAGGGGCCCTGCGGCCCCGGGAAGCCGTTGGTGGGCCACCCCAGGGGCCACTTGGTGCGCGCGTCCAGCACCGTGTACTCCTGCTCGATGCCGAACCAGGGCTCGTGCGAGGCGGCCTTCTCCATCACCTCCGCGCACGCCGCGCGCGTGTTGGTGGGGATGGGCACCGGGGGCTTGACCGAGCCGTCGGGCTGCACGCGTGGCGGCTCGTAGGCGTCGGTCAGCACAATGATGTTGTCGCCGCCGCGGAAGGGGTCGCGGTAGATGGCACGAGGCTTCAGGTACACCTCCGAGTCGTCGCCGGGGGCTTGGCCTGTGGAGGAACCGTCGTAGTTCCAGTCGGGGAGGTCCGCCGCGGACTTGGGCACGGAGTCGAGCACGCGGGTCTTGGAGCGCAGGTCCTCCCCGGTGCCGCCGATCCACACGTACTCGGCGCAGATCTTGCCAGACTGCAGACACCGTAAGGAAAAGCCGGGGGGGGGGAGTGGATGGAGGGCTGGAGGGAAGGTACTCGCAAGGGGACAGGGTGTGTGCGCACTCTCAAAAAGGGATGCGGACAGAGCACAAATGAGGTACAGCAAGGAGATGCAGCAGTGGTGGGACATCGCGGGCCACACGGGTGCGTCAGGGGCCCAGGCCATACATTGCGCAGTTGGATAGCGAACAGCATGACTTGAGGGAGCTAAATACTATAGTACTTAACGCTGTACAAGCAGGGCGTAGGCAGCAAAGCCGGGCAGAGGGTGGAAGGGAGCCACCAGAACCCTATCCGTTTCCCCCCTCCGAACGGATGAACCGGGCACGGTGCCCGCTAGGGATCCCGGGCGAGGCCGGGCCCCCCAACGCACCTGGTCGAGGTCCTTGAACCGGTTCCAGAGCTCAGGGTCCAGGAGCTGGGTGATCTGGCCATTCGTGCCTGCGTACGCGGCGGGTCGGGGAGGGGTCCGTCGGGAGCAGTCCACAGTGCTGCCCCGCCCAGGCAAGGTCTAGTACGAGTCCCCTACCCCAGGCACTAACCCTATATCCCAGTCTCGAACCGTTAGAGTCATGGCACGATTAAGCTATTCACGCACCGAACACGGGGGCCAGGGTATGCTTCTCGCCGTTGGTGGGAGACATCTCGCGGGGCAACGAGGGCTAGGGCTGGATGGGGGTCTGCCGGATGAGCACGCAACAGCACTTTCAACGTGATGAAACAGTTCCAGGAAGTATGCACAGGTGGGACTCTGGTGAATTCGGGGTGTTGTGGGCTTCTTTCAGCCGAGCATGGGCTGATGGGGATGTGGAGGGCGTCGACCCCGTCCTGGATGATGACACACATCCGACGAGGATGCAGGGGAAAATGGCAACCAGACAGAGAATTTGCGGGCCGAAACTCTGGGGCCCCTGCATGGGAATCCATGTCCGATTATTCATTGGGTGATGTCTTCTTGGGGAGGGGTTGGCCAAGCACCTAAGCAAGTGTCCGGCGTAGGAGTCGGTGGGCCGCACTTGCGGAACCCGGGACGCACTAGGGCTGCAACGTATTCCACGCTGTGTTTGTACGAGAAGCCGGAACACCACTTGATAGCATCTGATAGGGAGATTGGTCTGCTTGAGATCCCCAACGCATGGTAGGAAGGACCTGTGGGTGCAGCACCAATTCGCACGGCCGCTTGTTGCGTGATGGATCCAGCCTCTGTTCCGATGCACGCTCAAAGGTGACACTTTAGAGTGAAGAGGGAAAACATTGAGGTATCGAGCACCCCCGTCGAGCCGACCAACGGCGAATGGCATGTCGGTGTCTTGTGATGCTTGCCTTGAAGAGTACTTCATGGGACCCACTTCAAATCTTAAGGTGCAATGCCTCGTCAAATAGAATCTTCGACTGGTGGTACAGGTTGAACGGCGATTCAGGCCTTTCTTCCCGCATGATCAGGTTTGTCACCAGCAAATGCTGCCAGGACGTAGGTGCATGTGACGTCTTGATGCACGCAGGGTACCCAAGCTCCTGCTCTACTAGGAGCTAGGGGCAGTAACAAATAATCCTTTGAGGACTAGATGGGTCTCAGCACCTCCCAGGAGTACTGCTGGACTCTGTATACCTGATCCTCTGCTGCCGGGGCACACCATACCAATGGGCATGTATCTCGTGCCGCTCGACGTGCGTTCCACCTGAAACAAAGTGTATCCTGATCGATACTCACTGACTGACTGGATGTCTTGGATCTCAAATGTGGGATCGTCGGTGCATTCAAAGGGTGACGCCCCCTCCCCCTCTCCGTCCACCTGGCAGTGAAAGGCACCCGATTGCACCCCGACATCCTCAACATCGCCGAGACCTGCAAACCCACGACAGGACGCAGCGGAGCTGCAAAATAATAGCGTTGCCGCAGATCTATGCGCATCTGATCGCCAGATTGCTCTTGCCTCGGCCCAGCACTTCCTCCCCGGACCGAATCTGTACTTTCAGCGTCGCGGGGTCTCCGTCGCCGCTGGGCCCGTGGCCTGGTCTCCCGAGAGAGGCCCGCGCCCAGGCCAACCCCACGTCCTGATACATGGCCAGCGCCATGCTGCGGCGCACGGGTGCCGCGCGCTGGTCGCCTGGGGCCTGGTGCTACCTGCACCGTGCCCCCATGTACACCGGCTTCGGGCGGGCACACGACGATGAGCAGCGGGGGGACGGCAGCGATCAGCACGTCCCCCCATGGGCCTCCACCGTCCTGACTGGCGTGGACCTCATGCGCAACAACAAGGTGGGCCGTGGCCACTGGGCCTGGACACCCAGGCTGGGGTGCCCTGCTTGGTCATGCCCAGCATTCGGTGTCCCAGCCCCGGGCTCCTCCTGCAGCTTCTTCACCAATGCTCCTCCCTTTCCATAACATTGCCACATGTGCTTAGGCCCATTCCCCTCGTGTAGATCTCGCCCACCTCGACCAGGCTCCCTTCCCACCACCCCAGTTCCCCTTCCCCCCCAAACACACAAACCACAGTACAACAAGGGCCTGGCCTTCACACGGGAGGAGCGCGACAAGTTCTTCCTGCGCGGCCTGCTCCCCGCCGCCGTCCTGGGCCAGGACATCCAGGCCGAGCGCGTGGTGGTGAACATCCGCGCCCAGCGCAGCGACGTGGACCGCCTGGCCTACCTGCTGGCGCTGGCCGAGCGCAATGAGCGCCTGTTCCACCACGTCCTGCGAGGCCACCTGGCGGAGTTGCTCCCCGTGCTGCAGCACCCCACCACCGCGCGCTACTGCGAGCGCTTCAGCCTCATGTTCCGCTCCCTGCCGCGCGGCCTGTTCGTCTCGCTGGAGGACGCGGGGTCCGTCACGCGCCTGCTCCAGAACTGGCCCATGCGCCGCGTGAAGCTGGTGTCCCTCACCGACGGCTCCGCGCTGGGCGCCGGCGGCGACTGGGGCGTGCAGTCCATCGGCTCCCCGCTCTCCCGCCTGGCGCTGATGACGGCTGTGGGAGGAGTGCACCCCTCGCGCTGCCTCCCCCTCGTCCTCGACCTGGGCACCGACAACGCACGCCTGCTGGCCGACCCGCTGTACGTGGGCCTGCGCGCTCCGCGCGCGCGCGGCGAGGCGGCGCGCGCGCTCCGCGACGAGCTGCTCGCCGGCGTGCGGCGCCGCTTCGGCGCCTCGGTCCTCGTCGACGCCGCCGACGTGGACCACGCCACCGCGCAGGAGCTGGTGGTGGCGCACCGTGCCAGCCTCCCCGTCTACGCCGACGCCGTGCATGGGGTCCCTGCCGCCGTCCTGGCGGGCCTCTACGCCGCGCTGCCCGCCGCCGGGGGCGCGCTCTCCGCCCACCGCTTCATGCTTGTCGGCGACGGCCCCGACCTCGTGGCCGTGGCCGAGCTGCTGGAGGAGGCGGTCCAGCGCGAGCACCGCTCCGGCACGGTGTGGGAGGCGCGCAAGCGCATCTGGCTCGTGGACGCGGGCGGCCTGCTGGTGCGTGACAGGCCCGACGCCGACGCCGTGGAGGACCACCGCCTGCCCTACGTGCAAGAGGAGGGCGCCGCGGCGCCCAGCCTGCTGGACGCGGTGCGCGCGGTGCGCCCCACGGTACTCATCGGCCTGTCGGCCGGCACGCCGGCCTGGGCCTTCACCCAGGACGTGCTGCGCGAGATGGCCACGCACTGCGACCGGCCCGTGGTCATGCCCCTGTCGCGCGCCGACGCCGACGGCATCGCAGGCTTCGGCGAGGTCTCCGCCGCCGACGCGCACGCCTGGACCGGCGGCCGCGCGCTCTTCGCCGACGCGCTGACCAACCGCAGCCTGGAGGTGGAGGGGGTGGGGGGCAGGGAGGCGCGCGCCGCCAACCCCGTGTACATCTACCCAGGCTTGTGCCAGGGCGTGATCATGTCGCGCAGCACGCGGCTGAGGGAGGACATGCTCATCGCCGCGGCGAGAGCCGTGGCCGAGGCGGTCACAGGTGAGCGATCCATGGAAGGGAGGGAGGGGGGGACGGTGGGCGAGTGGGGGGAAATCGGCCGATGGAGAACTTGCCTTTGCTCGGCCGACAGGGACAGCACTTGGCCCAATGCAGAGTGATGCCAAGGTTGCATGTGAGATTAATTTGGTCATGGCAACCGCAGTCCCGGCCAGCCGCCCCAAAGCTCAGATGTCCCCCTCCCCTTGCCATAAACAATGCAGATGAGGACAGGGCGCTGGGCGCGCTGTACCCGCCGCTGACGGCGCTGCAGGACACTGCCGCCAGTGTGGCGGCGGCCGTGGCGGCGGTGGCGTACCATGCCGGGGTCGCCAGCGAGCTGCCCCAGCCCTCGGACCTGCTGGCCAAGGCGTATGCCGTGATGCACGACCCCACCTACCGCCAGTACGACTGAGGCATGGGTGGGCTGCCGGGGCTGGCACGGCGACGGCCGGAGGCACAGCAATGATGAACCTCGCGCATGCCCCGAGCCTGCTGCGATTGCCTCTCCTGAAGCTGGCCCTGGTGCTGCTGCCCTCTGGATTTTGGTTTGAAAATTGCGTCAGGCTGCCTTTACATCGAGGCTGCAGCTGGACAGCCCAAGAGAATTGAGCGATTTTATCGAACCACGCTTTCTGCCCGGCAACATGGGTGCAAGAGGGGTTTACCATGCAGGCCAACTCCACACCTTCTCTTGGAATCTGGCGATGAGTTTAGCCAACTTGGATGGACGCCATCCTCATTGGAAGAGCAGAGCCTCTTACGTGCAGGCGGCCTGGCAGGGGATTTCTTCAGGGGCAGTAAGTTATCGCCCCAAGACCACCACGACGTCGGTCACATTTCCAGCTCAGTGCAAGGTTGCCAGCCATGAAGCACCGCGGCCGCTGCAAACCCTCGCCAGACGCTGCCCTCCATGTCAGGCCCTGCTCTTCGGAGGTGACGACTGAACAACTGGGTAGCGGGTCGTCAGCTCACGAAGCACCGGCAGCGTCATGTACGATATGATGTCGGGTGTCCGGCTGACAAGGGCTCCCCATTCCTCTGGATTTATTCTGCCATCACGTGCAATGTCCAGCTCAGCAAAAGTCTGTATTGCCAGGAATGGTAGTGTGGGAGCACTTGTGCCTCAAGATGTAAGGTAATGGTCTGCCATGCCGCAGGGCTGGACAGACACGGAGTCCAGAGTTGTAGGGCACGATATGCCCTCAGCAAACGCCCCACAGACAAGGGCCTAACACTCACTGGCAGCAGCAAACTCCCTTACCGCATCGACGATGGCCTCCAGGACTGACTCATCAAAGTCAACCTCTGGGTTGTCGGCCATCACAGCTATCAAGAACCTCTTGAGCTCAGAGCGCTCAATGGCACCCGTATGACCAATGTCATATATTCGGAACGCAACTGCACAGAGTGGTGTAGAATGAGCATGGGAGTGGGGCTTAAAGACAGCTTTGCAGGCTGGGATTATTGTTGTGCATTGGTATTGATAGTCGATTGTTATTAGGCTGCGGAGCCACATGATCGCACATTCACAAATACGCCCCTACACCTTCCTGAACAGCGCTGCTACCCAGGCTTACATGAGGCCTTCTCTTCGAGGGGAGTGTCAGGGTGGAAAACGCTCAGGGAGCAGACAAACTCCTCAAAGTCCAAGACCTGATTCTGTTTGATGTCGAAGAGTTCAAAAACCTGGAGTAGGGAGCATCAGAGCACGGATGGGAAGTTTGCCGGGATCTGCAAGATAATCCCGTGCTTCAGTTTACCGCGAGACCATAATGATCCTGAGACATGGTGACGCATATTGCAAAGGCACAATGAACAGCCTATCAGTCCTCAAAAACGTGCAGGAACATGTTTATGATGTTGACATTGCAAAAGACAGTATCCGAGAGGGAGATACACCACCCACCCCTGCAAATGTTAGGCAGGTGACTGTACATCTCACCCTGTCAGCAAATAGGCTGTCCCGCCTGGCTTTGAACAAGGCCCACAAGAACTCATCCTTGTGAATCAAGTTGTCCTGCAGGTATATGGAGGGTAACAAGGATGTTAACAAGACCAGCTGGCCATAATACTAATTTCCCTGATGGTCTGCATGTCCATCAATCTCTCTGCAGACAAACAATATGATATTTCGAACCCCTCTAGATATCTCTTGGCAGTTCATAACGCACCTCATGAAGCTCGTTGCTGAGAATGAGAAACAAGCGATGCAGCGATGCCACTTCTTGAGCGGTGACTGTTCGGCATGGCACAGCCAATGCGCAGGGGGCGGCGGTGAGAACTAGGGCAAATATGACACCAAGAACCTCATTCTTTGCAGTCAATCAGTACGAGAAAGCCCATGGCCTCAGACCTATTCAGTATTTGGTATTCCATGACAAAGGGTGCTCCACAAGTTGAGTTGCTCACAGTGGGTTTTCGAGGCTAGCCGAGCAACGTTGAACCCCAAGATCTCCTCCGGGACAGCGCTCGCAGCGGGCTGTTTGATCATCTCGACCTCCTCTGCCTGTTCCTGGACAGCTTTGCTCTCGATACACCCCATCGCAGATCACTCGGCCGCATGTTGAAACATTATAGGCTTGGCTGGGTGCTGGCAGCAGCGAACCGGAAGTGTGGTCTATTTGCAGTCTGGATCAGCGACTTGAGTGAATCCTGCTCGGCCCAAAAGGTGCATTGCATGAGTCTGAAGCAGTGAATCGCCTGTATCTCGGCAGACGGTGTTGGTCGCCCTGACCATCTCGGGACCGATTCACTGCGCAGGGCGCGGAGCCAGCGCCAAGAATTCGACAACCCATGGAGGACCTTTGACAATGTGCATGCCGCTTGACCATTGACATATAAAACCCAACTGCAGTTCGTCTTTTAAAGAGGTGCATTGAGGCGATCTACTTGCGTAGCAGCCCGTGTTGTGTGGAGAGGACGCAGGGGTGAGCCGCGTATCTGCCGCGCCGTGGGAGGAGTATGGTGCATGCGACATGGATCTTCCTCTGCTTTGAGACTCCATGTACTCATTCATGATCCTTCAAACGCCCAAATATCCCAGATCATGTCGGAGGTGGAGGAGGACCCCGCCCAGCTCCTGGCGGTGCTCGCCACGCGCAAGGCCGACTGGGCGGCCACCCCTCTGGAGGACAAGTACCAGGCAGCCCTCGAGATTCGCAGTCGGGTCCTGGAGGCAGCCTCCCGCTGGTCCAGGGTCGCCGCACACACCCGCGGCTGCTCCAAGGAGGTCAGTGCGGTGTTCAGCATGGTGTTGTTGGGGGGTGGGGGGTGGGAGTAGGGGCGCAAACATCCCCACGCATGCAGTGGGCCCAGACCGAGTCGTCTTCATACCCTCTCACTTGCCCCTGTTCCACATGCCAAACGCTGTGCCCTTCCGCAGGCCGTGGCGGCCCAGGAGCTGCCGCTGATGCTGGTCCCCCTGGCCAATTACCTGGACAACCTGCTGGTGTCCCTGGCCGCGCTCAAGGCCTGCGCCCCCCTGCCCTCCCCCCCCGCCGCCGCGGCGCCCGGTGGTGATGGCCTCGTGGTCAAGGCCCACCCCTGGGGCACTGTCCAGACTTGGTTCTCCCTGCTGGGCTGGAGCACGTCCACGGAGGTGACCCTGGCCAGCGCTTCGCAGGGCGCCCAGCTGCGCGCCGCCTCCCCCGCCGTCGCCGTCGTGCGCAGCGTCGGGTACGCGCCGGTGGAGTCGCTGGCCGCCGCGCTGCACCTGGCCTTCGTCTCCGGCGCGGTGGTGGGCCTGGTGCTCCCCGCCTGGCAGGCCCCACTCCAGCTGGTCATGGAGTACATCATGGATCCACTGGCGCGCGGCGCCTTCTTCGCCACCCTGCTGGCTGCCGACGACGCGGAGGCCACGGCGCTGACCTCCAGCCCCGCCATCGACCGCCTGCACCTGGTGGGCTTCACGCCCGACGACTTTGGCGCCCTGGCCGAGGCGGCGGGCGGCGCCGACGCCCTGCCCCCGCTCGTCTCGGGGGAAGTGCACGGCCCCGCGCCCTGGATCGTGGCGCCAGGCCCGTGGACCCAGGCCCAGCTGGCGCACCACAGCCAGGTGCTGGCCGAGGCCGCCGCGTACGCGGGCGGGGCCTCGCCATACGCCGCGCGCCTGGTCCTGCTCCCCACCGCCTGGGAGCAGGCCGACGCCTTTGTCGACCTGGTCAGGGGGGAGCTGGCGGGGTACAAGCTGCCCGCGGCGGTGGACCCGGGCGTGGCGCAGCGCCACGCCGACTTCCGCCGCCACTACCCTGACGCGTTCGTGTCGGGGGCGGGGCCGCGCAACGACTTGATCCCGGGTGTGGGGCCGTGCCCTCCCTGGGTGGTCAACGTGCTGGAGGCCTACCCCGACGACCCCGCCTCGGAGCCCGCCTTCCAGACCGACCCCCGGGGCCCTGTCCTCACCATCGTCAAGGCGAGTGGGACGAGGGAAAGAGGGGGTTTGGGGGGCGGGGCAGGGCATGCGCATGCTGACTGCATCCTTGGTTGTGCCTTGCTTTCCAGACATGTCCACACCTCTGCACCGATCATCCTTCGGCCGCCTGGGCCCAGTCTCCTCCCCACCATCTGCGCTCACGACATCCTCACCCGAATTCTTCGCAGATCGCCACCGACGCCGGCAGTGAGGAGGAGCTACTCATCAGCTTTCTGGACAGGGCGGTGCGTGCCGTGAACGAGGACGTGCAGGGCAGCTTTGGCATGACCCTGGTCGCGCACGGTGCCACCCAGAAGCGGTACGCAGCGCAGCTCGACGCCGCGCTGGCGGCCGTGAGGTACGGCGTGGTCGTGGTCAACGCCAACCTGGGCCTGGGCCTGTGGTCCGCCCAGACGCACTGGGGCGTGCACGGTGGCGCGGCGGAGGTCGCCCCCGGCCGCACCCTGCGCCTGGGCAGCACCCAGAACAGCCTGCTGTATGACGAGGGGGTGAAGGGGGTAGTGCGCTTCCCCTTCGAGACTTACCTCCACATCCTCCCACCGGAGTACCGCTCCATCACCATGCGTGCCTCCCGCCAGCTGGCAGTGGGCATCGTGGACGGCATGCGTGGGTTCCTCAGGGGACTCAAGGACAAGAGCTGGGCGCCACCCGTCACCGTGGGGGAAGGCTCGGGGGGCGTGGTCGCCTGACCAGGTTTGATGTGACCGTTCCCCTTCGCTTGGGTCAGGCTCCTTGAAGGAGCATGTTTGCATGTGTGTGAGATTTACAAACTGGAGCCCCACAGGAGCATGATATTATCTTGTCCTGGCACCCTACGGCCTTTTAGACGGATGCACACTGTGCGGACGGATGCCTTTGCATCAGAAGAGTGTCCAGCCTGCCTTGCTTGTAACCCAACCGAACAGAGAGAGACTTGCATCTATGTCTAGCAGAGGGAGCGCAGGATGCAGTATGACAAAGTGCTCGAAGCATAAATACAGGTATACAGATGGGGATGGTTCCAGTGGGCCATGCCGTGACGGCTTGCATCCAGGCTGTTGACCTTGCATGCACGGCGCACTGCCGAGCATGCTTGGCAACTGCAGGATGGGATGACCCCCCCGGGGGGGGTGCCATCTGCAACTCACAGTGTTGCATGAAACCCTTCACCACACCAAATACCACAATCGCGTGGAATCTCATAGCATGCAGGAACTCCCAGGGGCCCGACGGCCTCATCTCACGCCAGGCTCTCGGCTCGTCGCCGCCCCTCACACGGCGCGGATTGCCTGGCCCTCAACAGCCTGCCCTCCCCCGCCTGCTGGCTGCGCTGCAGCCTCCGCTCCTCCAGCTGCGCCCGCTGCAGCGCCTGGGCTTGGGCCTCGAAGGGCCGCAGCAGCCGCTCGTGGGCGGGGCTGGGCCTCTGTGCTGTGCGGTCGACGGCCCGCGAGGCACGGGCGCTGCCGGAGGCCTTGGTCAGGCTCGTCACCTTCCTCAGCCCGCGGTGCAGCAGGTCGCAGATGTCGGCAGACAGCTGCTGCACCCCCTCCCGCCCGGGGAAGGCCTCCTCGTCAAAGCGGTAAGACAGCCAGAGCCAGAGGTTGACGATGGCGTGCGCGGTTTCCAGCTGGCGCAGCTCCAGCGTGTTGCACGGCAGCTTGCGGGGCAGCTGGAGGTCCAGTGTCACGGGGGCCCCGGTGGCGTAGACTCGGGCGAAGTGGAGAAGGGCCGCAAGGACATGCATGTTGCTGGAGCTGGCGGGGGCCATGCAGAAGCTGTACATGTCACGCAGGGACAGCTGGGTCTAAGAATGGTGGGGGGGATCGGGGGGAAGGGTTGGAATCTGCTGGGCATGGTCGGTAGGATGAGAGAGTTGAGCAGGGTGCAGAGAGGAGATACTGACGGCAGGTAGGCACCCGAGTGGTGTGCGCGGTGACCACTGTCCCCAGCCCTACATGCTCATCTCAATCCTGGCATGCAACCTTGCCAGCGGCCAGTCGGCACACTTGGAAGCAGGAGGGGCTCCCCTTGTATCAGCATACATGCCACAACAAAACACTCCCGCCACAGCTGATACCTCGCCGAGGAGCTGAGCCGCCGTAAACACGCCGTCTTGCTTGCACAGGAAAAAGGTAGAGTCCAGGACGGCATGCCGCGTAAATTGGTTGAGCGTCTCACTGGGAGGTGGGTGAGAGGGCGAGAGGTGAGCAGCCAATTTGGCAGTAAGTTGAAGACGGTCCCCCAGTGGTGTCTGGTGCGCACCACACCATCTTGAAAGCAGTTGAGGGCCTCCTTGCCTAAAGGTATCATCCGGCCGCTGCCCGGCAAAGACCTCCAGGTGCTCGAACTCAGGGAAGAGGCCTGCCTTCCTGGTGACCATAACATCCAGAGGTGTCTTTTGGGGGGGTGCAAGGGGGGTGTAGAGAGTGTTTGGGTATGGCATGTGAGGCAGCATGACGTAGTAGGTAACCTCAGCCTCCCCATGCCCTTCACTGTGCCCTGCAGGAGACCGACAGTGTGGCAGCTTCCGAGCTGCTAAAGGTCGACTCCAGACTCCACCGGATTATTCCCATGAACAACCCTTACCTCCAGCGCCGCCGTGAGTATGCCAAGCTCCTCCGGGTTCTTGCACGTCACCTTGCCCTGCGCGAACTCAGAGTTGCGCCGCCCCGCCCGGCCCGCGATCTGCTTGATCATCGACACGGACACCGGCGCCCTCTCGTTGCCCCCTGCGGCAAGTGAGCGAGGTCGAGTGCCGATTCGGTGGAGGGCCTGCCTGCCCCTTTCAACTGGCATTGCCATGTTGACAGGCCCTTGGCACCACCAGAAGTGACAACATACCCGTACAGGCCAGCCCACATTGCACCAGATCCCTTCCTAGACGCTCTGGGCTCCCTCGCTCCTCACACAAATTCCCCCACCCCACACACACAATAAACACTCCCAAAGCCTCCACCCAGGCCTGCCCCGCGCACCAAACTGCTTGTGCAGGCTGTGAAAGACGACGCGGCCGATGTTCAGGTTCAGACCCATGCCCACTGCGTCGGAGGCCACCATGACGTGGTACTTGTTGTCCCCGGCGTTGAACAGCTGGGCCTGCTGGCGCCGGGTCTCGGGGGGCAGTGCGCCATAAATCACGCAGCAGCGGTGGGAGGTCTCGCGCTCCACCGCCGCCTTGATCTCGAAGATGTCACGGCGCGAGAAGGCCACGATGCAGTCACCGCGCTGCGTGGCGGCGTAGACCCCGGGCCCCAGGCCCCCTGGCTCCACTGCCAGAGCCGTGAAGCGATCGTAGCTGCGCACCTCCAGCTCGTCGCCCATCGCGGCGGCCAGCGAGCGGACGAGCTCCACCGCTGAGCCGTCCCCGCACCTGGACAGAGTGAAGTATAGGCGGGTTTCATGAGGAGCAGCCGAGCCGGGACCTTGGGGAGGCATGTCCTGGGGGGACAAATGTACACATGTGCCCTGCCTCCTCCCGCAAACATGGCCCCAGCCGCCGCCGCCACCGCCTGGCTCACAGGTGGATCTCGTTGGCGGGGACGCCCATCAGCGCCCGGCTCCAGGCCCAGCCACGGTGTTCGTCCCCGATCATCTGGATCTCGTCCAGCACCGCCACGTCCACACGCCGACTCAGGTCCACCATCTCCACGGTGCACGACACGTGGCTTGACCCCGGCACCTCCCGCCTCTCCTGGCCTGTACAGGGAGCGGGCGAGGGAGGATGGGCAGCCACAACGTGCAAGGCAACGCTTGCGGACCTCGCTCGTTAGGCATTGGCTGGGCGGCAGGAGCCCAAACACTCGGTGCTCTGCCGTGCAGCCTCGGCATCGACCTTGGCTCTGGAAAGCTTTACCCACTTGCTGGAAACCCGACCCGTAGCCTCCTCTCCACATGTATCCAGAGGAGCATGTGTTCGGCCTCGGCACCCCTCCACAAACCCCAGCCCACCCAAAGACAGCTAAATCCCCCCCCCCCACTTCCTCACCAGTGATCAGGTCGCAAAAGGTGCCAGCGGCGTTGCAGGTGTCGTACACCTCCATGGCCAGCAGGCGCAAGGGGCCGCAGTACACCCCCGACCCCGCCGCCTTCATGGCCTCCAGGGCGGAGTAGGTCTTGCCAGAGTTGGTGGGGCCGGCGTGGTAGACGATGCGCCGCTGCAGCGCGCGCGCCAGGGGGAACCAGGCATGCGCCGCGCGCAGGTCAGCGGTCTGCACCAGCGACCGGTACTGGGTCACCTGATCCCGGTACTCCCGCAGCACGAAGCGCGCAAAGGCGGGGAAGAGCGCGTCCGCCACCGCGCCGCCGGTGGCCAGCGCCCCGATGGCCGCCAGCTCCCGTGGGCGAGCGCGGGACAGCACTGCGTCCTCGAACGCGGCCGCGGCCGTGGGGAAGAGGGCACTGTTCACGTACAGGGCCAGGGCCTGGTCGCGGACGACGCCGCTGCGGCGCAGGATGCGGAAGGCGGCCGCGGCACGCTCGCTGGCGCGGGAGGGGGGTCTGCCGGGGCGGGGCGGCCTGGCCGGCCGAGTCAGGAGCTCCTCAAAGTCAATGTCCAGTCTGGTGTCCGTCGGTGGGGGCGGCGCCTCGCTGCTCGCATTCGCGGGGAGGTCGACCTGTTGCATGATGGGTTGGGACAAATGGAATTGTCCCGCGGCATGCGCTTGCGGGCTCGATCTTCCGAGGAGTGGCCAAGTGGGAGGCCTGTACGCCTCTATGCCAACCGCAAATCTCGCAACACCGTTCCCCAGCTACCAGATCTGCGCACTACTGTCAGCTGCATCCATCAGGTCCATGCCTACCTCTGCCACAGATGAAATGAACTTCCTGGCGAGGTCTGTCGTGGGTACTTTGGAACACAACGCCCGCAGCCCAGCATGCTGTGCCTCTGAGGCCCAGTAAGCAGGGAAGCCCGCGAACACAGCTGCGCGGGTGTCCTCCACGCATGCAATGCCACCACTTCCAGGTTGCGCTCTGCAGGCCACTCGCAGGGACCAAAGGGCCCGGCGAGTGACAAAGGCGCGCATGGTCAATGCATGTACTGAACTGCTCGGGACGTGGGGACGAGCCTTCCTATCCAAATCGCAGGCAATGTGCGGGACTCTTACCGGTCCTGCGCGATTTGTTGCGCAGTCAATAGTATGGCAGTGGAAACGAGCTGCACTCTTTTCTCGTCGTTTTCTTCGCGCCTGCGCGGAGCCGAGGGCCAGAGCGCGGTGAAGCATGCACAGCACGCCACAAAGTGATCTTTGGGCTCGCACCGCTCCCTTCGCTTGCATCACTGGAGCAGCAACGGTCGGCTAAGGATATTTTGAATCTATGTATCGCGAAGAGAGTTTCATATGTGTGAAGCGGCACCTACTCTGTCGGGATGGTAGGGGTCGCCCGTCCGTGTATCCGAGAGCCTTTGCCCTCGGTGGTGCACTGGCAGGGCACCAGGGAACTCCCTCACAGGCTTCTGACCTGAATTCAAGACACGTTTTGAATGAAACACCAACTCGTCTAGCATGGCGAGCTCTGGAGTTAGATCTGGCGGTGCTGTGCAAGCCCGACCAGACGACAAGCTGTTGCTGGACCCAGATGAAGAGTCTCTGCACCATGGCGGCAGCTTCCGCACATACATGCACCACAAAATGTCCAAGCTGGGAGAGCAATTCGAGGCACAAGCCGCAGATTTGGGAGTCTCCTCTCGCATCTTTCAAGGCGTGGCAGTACATGTGAATGGCTACACCTCCCCCTCCCATCAGGTCTGTCTGGGGCCTTTCACGACCATGTGGAAGTTCTAGGAGGTTGGGCATACTTCTTGGTGAGTCTGATGTGCATTAAATAGCCTGTGTCTATTTATAAACATGTGCCAGTTTCGTTTCTATGCAGGAGCTCAAGGTCCTGATGGCGAAGCATGGAGGTGTCTTCATCAACTATCCGACTCCAACCAATCACACCCACATCATTTGTAGCAATCTTACGGATGCCAAGATCAAGCAATTTGAGAAAGCCAGGTAGGAGTACTTGTGGGTCAGCCTCATACCAGATATCATGCTGCTTTGTAACGCTCATCCCTTGAACTTGTAATATGCAGGACATTAACACCTCAGAAAACCTCATGACTTACCCTTGCAGGAACCACAAGCCAGTGGTCAGTCCTGAGTGGATATTGGAGTCCATCAAGGCGCAGTCCCTCCTGCCGGTCGGTTTTAGGATTGGTCTCAGAAAGCACTTCCCACAGTTTCTAAATGCCTGCCCCTGCGCCTGGTGCACATCAGAGCTCATCATTGCCTTTTGTACACCCTTCAACCTATCCTTTGCACTTGATCGCAGATTGCGCCATTCCTGCTGTCCACACTGCGAGACATCCCTGGTCAGCAAAGGTTGCTTCCTTTTGGGACGAGAGCTGATGTGCTGCCTGCCAAGGACGGCTGCGGTACAGCGCACCCTATGGCAGCATCTGAGGAAAATCCGGCCACAGCCTACAATCAGCCGAGCCCCATGGGTGCGCCTGTCGCCTACGACCCAGCGGAAATGCGGGCAGCGCAGGCAGAGGCTGCACGGCTCCGCGCAGCGTGCGACATGCTCAAGGGCGCGCCAAAGTCTTCGCGGGATGACCCGAATTTTGTAGAGAGCTTCTTCTCTGCTTCACGTCTTCATTTTATAGGTGCATTGGTGGCGGGAGCAGCTGTGGTTTGGCATTGAGCGTGCTTTGAGGCGCGAATCGAACTTGTTCTGGCTGCGGGTATTTGTAGATTGAGCTTGAGTGGAGGCATTGTTCCTGTGGGTGCTTCAGTCGTTTGGCTAAACCTTCAGATTCTTGAGAATGCTGTCCATCCCGCTTCCGATCACTACAGGAATGTGGAAGACTAGGCTGGAAAGCCTGATGCTGTCGGGGGTAATTGGGGGTCCAACCCCCAACCCTGGGCCTGGTGCACAAGTTATCTTCCATGTGGATCTGGTGAGTTGCGCGGAGCAAGGATATGGAGTTGCTCTCGGGCACACGTCCTCGGAGAGGATGCGCGAGCGGCTTGAGTGGGCAGTCTGCTTTCTGCGAGTTTACCCATCTGACTTACAATCTCTCTGCCCTGCGCAGGACTGTTTCTTTGCTTCAGTGGCTGAATCCGAGCACCCCCTGTTCTCTGGAAAACCCCTGGTGTGGCGCATGGATCATAGAAGGGATGGCAACCAGCTTATTCATTGGCGCGACTTGAGGAGGGCCTGCGAATATATCGCTGTTGTGCCTTTCGATCTGATGAAAATGTGATGTAGAAGCGGTCCCATGGATGTCTCACGCACACATCCTCACTTTGCCTTGTGTATCCATTTAATGGTCCACACTGCTAAGCCTCACCCCCCCCCCCCCCAGGCTGTCTGTCACTCGAATAATGCAAAGGGCACGGCCGAGATATCCTCTGCCAACTACGAAGCCCGCAAATATGGCATCCGGGCCGGAATGTTCATGGCCGGCGCCAAACAGCTTTGCCCCGACCTCATCGTCGTGCCGTACAACTTTGAGCGCTACCAGGAAGTATCTGAGCAGGTGCGGCGTCGTGAGGAGGAGGTGGAGACTTAATACACCCGGGTGGTATGTGTGGGGGAATGGAAGCGCATGTGTTGTCGGCAGGGACCGTCACCCCACTGGCACCCGTCGTGCATCCATCTTTGAAAGGCTAATCACCTGCCCCTGTCGGGCCGCGCCGCAGGCCTACAAGATCATGATGGCTTGCAGCGCCTGTGTCCAGCCCCTGTCCTGCGACGAGGCGTTTCTGGACGTCACCGGACTGGGCGACCCTTTCCAGTTGGCGAGCCGGCTGAGGGCCGACATCCAGGCGGCCACGGGGTGCACGGCCTCGGTGGGGATCGGGCACAACCTGCTCATCGCCCGCCTGGCGACCAAGCGTGCCAAACCCGACGGCCAGTGCCACATCCAGGAGGCTGAGGCGGCCAGTGCCATGCTGGTGAGGCCCTGGTGGGGATGGCATGCTCTGTCAGCTCACTCCTCCTCCTCAAGATGCATGACGGTGGCATGGTGCGGCATACAGCTGAGAAGGGGGACGCAAACGAAGTTTCGCTGTGCTGTCGGGACCAGGGTCCATCCTCGTACCACAGCCGACCCACCTCCGCGTGTCCACACCAGCTAGTCTCCTGTGACTCCCACCACAGTCCCTGGAGCTGTCAGACCTGCCGGGCGTGGGCTGGGCAACCAGCAAGAAGCTGGCGAGCCTGGGTCTCCAGTCTGTGGCCGATCTGCAGGTGACAATGATTGCTGGAGGATGCTGGCACTTGGGGCAGCCTGGGGACTGGCCTCATCCTGTATCCTCTGCTACCCCATACCTGCACAGGCATGGTCAAAGGCCCGGCTCCAAGCAGAACTGGGAGACAAGACGGGGGCTGCGCTGTGGGACGCCTCGCGCGGCATCGACACCCGCAGGGTTGCGCCGCCCGCCGTGCGCAAGAGCCTGGGGGCTGAGGTGAACTGGGGGGTCAGGTTTGACTCGCCGCAGGATGCCACCCGCTTCCTTGGAAAGCTAGCAGAGGAGGTGTGGACTCGGATGGGCGCGGCAGGGGTGCAGGGCCGCTCCCTCACCCTGAAGCTGAAGAAGCGGAAGGAGGTGAGGGCTAGGAGATGGAGGTGGCTGGGCCACTGGCTGCAACCGTCGGCAGGAAGAGTGAGACTGCAGCCGCTCTGCTGATTCCCCTGTGCGCCTCTCGCGACCTTCTGACATTGTGTGCCTCTCGCCTCCTGTTATGCAGGGCGTATACAACCCCGTCAAATTCATGGGCCACGGCATCTGTGACAACCTCTCCCGCACCCACACCTTCCACCGCCCCGCCCACTCGGCTGCCACCATCCACCGGGCCGCCTGTGACATGCTGACCTCCCTGCACGTCCCCCATGCCGATATCAGAGGCATCGGGCTGGGGGTGCGCGAGCTATGCCATTGGGAGGAGAGGATTGATTGGGGACAGGCGGTGGCATCGATGGTTCAACCTCCCTCCTTGATATGGTTTTCATGCCTGAATGCCCTTCACACCCAGCAGATGTCACGCGGGCTATGACTCCAGATCCAGGCCATTCTCAGAGGCACTCCCTCCCCACCGCCTGAACAGATGTCCAAGCTGGAGAAGGTGACTGATGCCAGCCACAGGAAGGGCTCGTTCTTCAAGGTTCCGGCTCCGGCAGGGAGCGCGGATCGCCTCCCTCGCCTGCTTAGGGCAGCATCGGACTTGCCTGGGCGACAGGGGGAGGCGGTGCATCACAAGCCTGCGGAGGACCTGGGCCGTGGAATGCCCGATGCTGGGAGAGTGGACTGCGACGCATCGGCGCCCTCAGCCGCAACTGGCGCAGGACGTTCCTCTCCTGACCCTGCGGCCGATGATGACCCGTCAGGGAAGGCTGCGGACCTGCAGCAGCTGGATGGTGAGGACAGTCTCGGCTGGTCATCGAATGGGGAGGGTGAGGGGCGGGAGGCTAGATTGTCGCCATCCCATCAAGAGCTCCCTGCAGACCATGCGCATGGCGTTGCACCCTCATCTCTGGCGTCAGAAGGCTCGGGGCATGAAGGGCCCGCCGTGACCACTGACATGGCCCGGGACCGGCGGTCAGGTTTGGCACAGCGGGCCCAGGTTCTGGCGAGCTTCCAGGGCATGGCCCTGAGTCAGATAGATGCTGAAACCCTGGCGGCACTGCCCTGGGACATTCAGCGGGAACTGGTCACCCGGCTGCCGCGAAACAGCGAGGCTGCTCCGAGGGAGGGCGTGGAGGCGGTGACACCGCAGCCAGACCCTCCAGCTGCGAACAGAGGAGCGTGGAGAACGCCTGGCCTTGCCCAGGGCAGTCCGGTGGCGAGCCACGAAGCGGTGAATGTCAGCCTTCGTACCTCAAGTATAGAGAGGGTGGACTCGCCGGTAGTGCCCCTGCCCTCCGTCTCAAAGCTGGACCCCGCTGTCTTGGCGGAGCTTCCCTGGCATCTCCGGCGTGAGCTGGAGGTTGCTTATGGTAGGTGCTGCCCTGGCAAAGGACAGGGGTCTGTGTCTCTTTGGATCACAGTGTGACCCTTGCAGTCTGCCCAGAGTGTATGCGTGACCAGCGCATGGGATGCCCTTTGCCTGGGCTGAATGTCATCAGAGGCGGGTGCTTTTGTCTGCATGCCCGGCGCTGCTGCACCCAGGATCAGCAAAACACTCCGCTGACGCATCTCCAGGCCCTGAGCTGGCAAGGCAATCGCTGCGAGGCGCCAACATGAGACGAACTGGCAGGCCTGCTGGCTTCAAACCGGGTCCCGCATCCGGTCCCATACGAGGCCCGACCCGCCCTCCCTCTCGGACAGAGGTGGATGCTCCCCACACCAGGGGCTTCAAACGGGGACAGGGCGGGTCTGGGGCGGAACCTCCACTGCAGAGGTGAGGAGGAGGGAGTGCGAGTATCCCATCGGCAGCCCCTGCCAGGTACCTACTTGCGTTTGAATCAAATCCCAAAGATGTGGCTTACCCCCCAGGTGCCCGCCTCGCTGGCCTGAGGCAGGAGTACACGTGGCCCACCCATCATCCCACCCTCCCTTGCAGGGCGCGCCACATGCACCATCTGCCATCCTCCACGACGGTGGATCCACGTGTACTGGCAGAGCTCCCACCCGAGATTGCCGAGGAGATTCTGAGCGCCTTCCCACGAGGCCAGCGGGCGCGTCTCAGCTCAGCCATGCGAGAGGGGGCAAGGAGCGGAGGGGTGCAGGGGTCACACGCTGCGCCTGGGTGCCGAGGCGGGGAGAGTGGCAAGACGAGGGATGCCCCTTCGGTGATGAACGCCAGGTTCGAGGAGTACCTGGACACTACCACGCCGCTCCTCCATCTGCCCGCCGCTCTGCTTCGGGCCTGTGTGGAGCTGGGTGACGGCGATGGTCTGCCTGGATCCCAGCATGGCGTGGCACGCGATGTGGAGACTATCCTGCACTGGAGACTGCTTCAGGGGCTGGGGGACGACTTGGAGGGCGTGGCAGCGACGCTGAGGAGTGCCACGCGCGCTTTCTCGGGACGAGGGTGCTTGGAAGAGACGGCAATCGCCGTAACCGCTAGCATTCAGGCAGCAGCAAAGGAGGTTCATGGTGCACAGCTCTGGCTCGGATCGATTTTGAATTGAATTCGTGATCTGCACAATGAATGAGTGTCGTACCTTTTATCCCATCACTGTTCCTTCTTGTTTCGCCTCCGGACAGTATCCCAGGAGTGGCGTGTATCAATGGCGGTGTCGGACCGGGCGTGGATGCTCTTTTAGACAGGGCGCGCACACAAGTTGAACCCACTTTGCAGCTCGTCCTGCGATGAAAATCTTGCGATGAATAATCTGAACACCCGTCAGATCCCGCTGTAGCTCCCTGTATGTCTCGAAATCTCCTCCGCGCTTTGGGCGTCGGGTGCTGCATAGTCATACTTGCAACCCAATCGGGTGGCCTTCTTGGGGGAGTTCTGTTTCCATGGCACCCTCTGCTCATGAGTGCGGGGTTCCTGGGGTTCATGACCGAGGGCATCTCCACCGCGCTGGCCTTCCGGCACTTGGAAGGGGGCCCTCGAGTGCGTGCCATACAACGGCACGGCTGGGTTCAGGTAGCCTCTACAGTCTGCATTGCTCTAGGATTCCTCGTGATCTACACCAACAAGGTGAACGGCCGTTGGTAGGAGATTGGGACTGATGGCCTTCCCAATGGATTCCTTGTCAAGGCTTACCTGTTGGTCCACTTCGAACATTCGCCCACAGGCTAACAATGGCAAACAGCATTTCACCAGCCTGCACGGCAAGGTTGGAAACATCAACACGTGGCTGGCGGTGGCCACGCCAGTTGGAGGCATTTTCAGCTTCCGCAAGCTGGGACTGATCACTTGCCTCCCCGAACCCTGGCATCCATTCATCAAGTGGCTGCACCGCTGTGTGAGTTGCCGTATTGAGAGATGTAGCATGAGCGTGTCTGGAGCAATACCCTGCTGTCAAGACAAGACGCGGGGGCAATGTGTCTGCAGCATCCGCCCTGTCTTCATCCGCATGCTGCCGCTCTCAGATAACCCCACTGCGTTGTTTATGCAGCTAGGATTGCTGACTTGGATGCTGGCCCTGGTGACCGTGCAGCTGGTCCTTCCCCACAAGGCCATTATGCAGGTAGGCAGGATCTGGTGAAGGTGGCGGCTGCCAAGTTCCAATTCATAAAATATCCAAATGCTTCCCACCCCCAGTTAAGCCACCCAACTTATCACACGCCATTCTTCGCATGCTACACAGGGTCTGCTGAGTCGGTTGTGGCAGCTTGCTGTTGTAGCCATGGGTGCTGTCATGCTCACTGCACTGCGAAGAAAACCCCTATCAGCCCAGCATGCCCTTCCGACCGTGGAGATGGCCTTGCCCGTGAGCAAGAATCGTTGAGTTCGAGACTAGTCCTCACATGTATGTTAGAACTACACGCAATGATAGATGGCCCAAGGGATGCAAAGTGCTGGGAATATGTGCGTGACCTGACGAGAAAGCATGCTGTGTGATGACTGCGATCAGGAGTGCCCCCAGTTGAATGTTCCGAAGCAAACCTTGCCGCGAGGGGACCTCAGGCGCCAAGTACACGGAGATCACAATCGCCGAGTTCCCGAGCATGAAAGCCACCTCCCTCCTACATTCCCAAAGCCTGCTCCCTAGATATCTGCAATGAACGTAGTCACACAGTATGGAGCGTCCATGTCCTTTAGATTGGTGGCTCCCCGTAGCACCAAGCCTCATGGCATGACCCCCCGATCGCATGGCACCATGCTCTCGGTGCGGACAGAAGCCCTTTTCCGGGATCTACAGTCGCATCACCCATCTTCATCTAGCCTTCAACGGCGCCATTGCCTCGCTGGACTGCTCCCGATCATGCTCCTGCCCAACGTCATGCCGGCGCATGCAGGGGTGGTGGAAGACGCACTGCGGTCCCGCCTGCGACCTGATGTAGAACAAGTCGCTGCCGTGGTAGACCTCCTGGATGCACGGGCTACCTTGGTGGAGATGCAGGTTAGTAATTAATGCTGGTCCTACTCGCTGACCCACTGCCTGGGTAGGTGTACCAAACAGCTGGGACTGGCTATATGCTGCCATCCACTCCAGAAGCCAATGCGTCCTCACTCCTCTCCTCTCCACGCCAGAGCATTGTGGAATCGGATGCTGGAAGCTCAGTGCGTCGCACCAGCCAGCGCATGCTGCCGACGTACGCTCGCTACCTCAGGGCTGTAGGCAAGGCCGCCCCAGTGATAGGCGCCCTGTCTACCGGCCGGGATGCCGAGAGCCTGCTTGGAGAGGAGTATGGAGGCACAGCTGGGGCAACACCTGCACAGACATCCCCAGTTACTGCCGTCTACTCTGCAGTCGGAAGGGTCAGTTTCGGGCCTGTATGTGGTTAAGCAGGCAAGGGATTGATGTCCATCGTCTGGGAGTGGGTCCTCACAATTTGGGTGGCTAGGCGGGGTCCCAGACTCAGACAGCTGGATACTGCCGAGCCAGAAATAGCACTGCCACCTCATGCGCAGATTCTCAACTACAGTGGCCGGGGCGTGCGACCGGAGGCGATGAAGAGCCCAGAGACCATTTCCGCAGCAATTGCAGCACTGGATGGCCTCCTTGGCAGCACTCCTGAGAGCCTGGTGAAGCGCGCCCAGGAGCAGAGGGGCTCATCAAGGGGCGTCTCAGGTGTCTGACAGGCGGTGGGACAGCACACACGCATGCCTTCTCTCTGAAATTGCAGGCCTGCTGGCTGGTCTGTTCCACGGCATTGTGTGTGTCTGGCGTGTGGTTGTACACAAGCAAGCGAAGCGCCGCATGCTTTTGGAATACATGCTGTCCATAATGCGCTCTCTCTCAGTGCTGTGAACTTGCAATGTGGGATACTGGGTACCTGAGGTCAGCATGCCAACCCCTCTCTCAGGGCATTGGGAAACCTGGGGGAACAGCAGACTCTGCTGGGAGGTTGCAGAAGGTCCAGGATCGTCCAGAGGAGGAATCCCAGGGCTCTGATGGCGCAGCAGATGAGGCCATACCAGACTCCACACTGCCGGCAGCGCCGCAGCGTGCCCAGCATACCACCTCCGCGATCCGGATGCTGCAATGGACGGGGTTTGTTCCAGGTTGACCCTGAGAGATGGCCAGCTATGGGAGCACCCCTCACCGCAGCTCGCGCTTGAAACCGACACGGGCCTCAGGAAAAACCTAAGAACGGTCTGAGCCTCAGGCACGCCTTCACGCAGCATCACGCAGGGGCGCACCTGCACTGCCCTGTAGTAGACATCCTCTGTCCGCTGGGTCACGCTTCGCCAGCTGTACATCTCTCGAACCGCTTGGTGCTGCCTCCAGGGATCAATGGTGGGCAGGGTGACCAGGGCGGTTTCCAGTGCCTGCACGGTTCACAGAGGGTGGTTTCGAATGGTCTATACAAGGGGGGAGAGCTGAGGATGATGAGTTTGCCGCCCGTCCTCTTTGAATCCATGGGAGGGTGACTGCAGACCAGCCTGGGGCCCAAGGCATCACCTCCAGGATGCCGTCGCAGGAGGGCTCTGCGAGCAGCAGGATGTCAGAGGGGAGCACCTCGGGCACGCCTCCGACCCTCGTCGAGACCACCAGCAGGCCTGCAGTGGGTAGCAATGGGCGGGGCTTGGCACGGAGAGACTGCAGCCGCACACAGAGCCTGCACCTGCGCTTCAATGTCTCTGCCACCCCACCTCGTCTCAGTTGGTTCACAAAGGCCACATCTTCACACTCTAACCTGCATGGCAACAGCCAAGCCCCCCGCCTGCATCTCATTCACCCCAAACCCATCACCACCACCCCACCTGCAGCCGCAGCTTCCACGATGGCCATGCAGAAGGCTTCCGTGAGGGAGCAGTTCAGGAAGAGGTGGCCTCGCACAAGCACGGAGCGCACTGCCTCGGGTTTCACGTGACCCAGAAACTCGACCCGCGGCCCCAAGCCCGCCTCCGACACTGCCCGTCTCAAGCCCGGCAGCTTCGGGCCGTCTCCACCTACAAGGCGCCGGGGGCAAAAGAAGGGAGGCTATGAGGGGGCGCCGAGCATGGACACATCCGTAGCAATGTGGCATCCTCGCCCATTGCTGGAGAAACGGATGATGCCCCTTTTGCTCCGGGTAGTTCCGTCTTTCGGTGCCCAGCATGGGAGATGCGAGGAGTGTGCTGGGCCTGGGTGAGCAAGTTTGCCCTGCCCCTGTGCTGGCCATGTCTCCCTCCTGCATCAAGATGGCACACCCTGCCCCCAAGCCTTCCACAGGCCTCACCAATGATGAAGTCGACTTTGGGGTGGCGTGCCAGGAAGCGGGGGAGGATTCCGGCCAGCAGGTCGATGCCCTTCCTGTAGACCATGCGGCTGAGCGCCACGACGGTGATGCGTCCCGGCTGCCGCTGGCCAAGGTCGGGAGTGTACAGCGCGGCGTCCACGGCTGCCGGGAGGAGGGGCGCGGGTCGGGGGAAGGGGACCAGCGAATGAGCGAGGAGCGTGCATCGGCGCCGCAAATTTTGTCAGGATGTCAGCAGGACAGGGGTGGGTCTAGAGGGAAGCCCCGCCCTGCACGCCCCCACCTGCATACCGTTGGGGATGACAGAGACGAGGCTGGGGGGCAGGCAGGCCCTCAGCACCGTGTTCTCCTTGCTGGTGTGGGACACGCAGATGGCGGCAGACACATCCGCAAGGCTGTGCTTCATGGCCTTGTTCAGCGCGATGGAGCCCAGGTCCGCAAAACCGAACAGGGAGTGGTCGGTGAACACGGTGGCGCAGCCTGCGCAGCGCGCGGCCATCACGGCCTCGTGTGCCATGGTGCTGAAGGCCTGGTGGGCGTGCAGGACGCCGACGCGCTCGGTGGCCAGAATCCTGTGCAGCGCCGGGTACAGGCCGAAGAAGGTGGGCAGGGTGTTCTCCAGGACGAAGGGGCGGCGGGGGAGGTAGATGACCTGGGTGAGGGGAGGTGGGGTGTCGCGATGTGGGTGGTCATGGACCGCAGCGATCCGAGGAGGCACACCAAACGGTGGGGATGTGCGAGCCAGAGGTGTACGTCATGCGCCATGGCAGCAAGTACAGGCCTGGGTCTCGGTCTTGATCAGCTGCATGCAAGGGGGGGAACAGAAGCCTTCTGCGGCCCTTCTTACACCCCAAACCTTCCCCCCATCCTCGCCTTGAGGCCGTTAGTGAGGTAGCGTGTGCCAGGTGGTGTGCCGCGGCTGTGGGTAAGCACCACCACATGATGGCCCCTCGACAGCAGGCACTGGGAGAGCTGATAAATGTGATTCTCAACCCCCCCAGTATTGGGATAGAAGAAATCGCTGACCATGAGGATGCTGAGCTTGGGACGATCCATGGTGCTCCCTGCCACCCCCAAGACTAAGCACTTGGGCGACGGGCTGCCTTGCAGCAGGTCAATGACCCGCTGCCTCACAACCTTGCATTTAATTTACTGATCATCGCACCATGCAGCATGTGCAAACATCACGGCGGCATGACTCTCTGATCAGGCTTCCGAGATCGCTCGGAATGCTGTGCATGCGCGGCGTCATGCACGTATCTCAAATTCTTGGGACCGCTTGCTTCTAGCTCCATATTCAGTATGGCTGATCATGGTCATTCAGTTTAGATTTTATTTTGGACCCTCATAACTTCAGTCCGAAATAGCGTGGTCAGACTGTGCATGGGTCGTTTCGGCCGGTCGAGTATCAAGGCTTTGTGCCTTGCGACCCTCGCGTTGTTATGTGTTTTGGGCTCGGTACACTGCCAGGCCGTAACCAACAATCTGAATAGTAAGAACATCTCTAGCACGCTAGTCCCTGAGCCCAGCGCATCATCAACAAATGCTCCTGTTCTAGAAGAGGTCGTCAAGGTTGGCCCCATCTCAAGTCTCAGGAAAAGCACATCAGATTCCGACGACCTCGACACATCGAAGGCTGCGACAACAGGCAGCACCCCAAGCATTCCTGGTCCTGCCAGCCTGCCCGACTCCTGCAAGGCTACAGATAGGGTCCCAGCTGCAGCTCCGGCAGGGGGTGCACCTGTCCCTAAGAATGGCGTGGGCATTGCAGAGGAGTTTGCTGTGAATTCATCTGACAGCGTAGCTGCCCATAACGGCGAGCAGAAGGGGCCTGTGAAGACAGCAGAAGACGTCGTCCCCGCAGCGACCAGGGAGGATGCTGGGCAAGTCGGTGCAGACACCGGCTCCAAGGTCCTAGATGGCACTGTCCAGATCCGGTCCCTGACTAATTTTGCCCTGGGAAAGGATGGTGAGGGCCGGACTTGTAGGCAGGGCATGCTGTGTGCTTATGATTAGCAGGCTGGGGATATCAGGGCACCATCTCATTATGTATTCAACGAACCCCCCCCCCCCCCCCACCCTCCCTCTCCTCCTGCCAGGTGCAAAGGTGCTGGCCACCAATGCTGAAGCCAGGAAGCCCGGGGCACTGCTGGATGACGACTCCGACACTTTCCTGAAGAATGATTGCAAGGCGGACAAGTGGGTGATCCTCGAGCTGTCGGCTGTGGCCACCATCTCTGTGTGAGCAGCCTGGTTGGGGCGCTGGTCAGGCTGGAGAATGGGTGGAGCTTGGGACAGCCAGCAGCGGCCCTGCACTCCTCACCACAGGGATTGGATGATTATTTATTCATCATACCCAAGTGCGGCCCCCATCATATAGTTTCTGGTCTGTCAATGCCTTTGCATCGCAGGGTCGAGCTGGTACAGAATGAGCTCTACTCTTCCCGTGTGAAAGACTTCGAGGTGTACGCCCGCCAGAGCAACCCTCGCCAGGACGCTGGAGGGGACTTGGCCGCCGGCCTGGCAAACCCACTGTGGCGCATGGTGGGGAACTTCACGGCTCCAAAGACTAAGGGTAGGGCTCCGGTGGCCTTGGGGTGACCCTGAGGGGAGGTGGGGATTGTTTATGCGTGCATGTGGTACTGTTGCTGGTCGGCAGGTCCTGCATCCATGGGCCCCTTGAGGACGTGGAATGCACGCGTCACAGGAATGCAGTGTGATGATCTCTGTGAGGCTGCCTACCATGGCGTGCTCAACGTGACTCTCACGTCGTCAATGCCCAGGCCTGCAGCGGTTTGAGCTGCAGCATCCCGGCTGGGCGAGGTATGTGCTGGTGCGCTTCCTCACGCACTACAGCTCAGAACCTGTGTGTGCGATGAATGGCATCGCCGTATATGGTAAGGCGACTCTCTGGCTTTTGTTTGGGCAAGCCTCAGTGAGGGCTGGGCTCTCTGGCAAGAGGGTCGGCAATGTTGCGCAGGACTTGACTGAGGTTGGAATGCGGTGAGCCGTCTCGCATTGGTCGTCTGATCCCCCACATTCCCTGTGTGTGGGAATGGAGACGTGAGCAGCAGTTGTGTGCCCGCCCCAGTTCTCAGACCTCTTGCCTCGTTGTCCCCGTCGCAGGGAAAAGCGCGGCCGAAGAGCTGGAGGACGAGCTTGCCCAAGTGAGCGCCAGGGACGAGGCCCGCGAAGCCCTCGCGCCGGAGGCTCTGGAGGGCGTCGGACTCCTGCGCGGTACCGACGTTGCGAGCAAAACGGGAGAGGGGCTGGAGCCCCTGATTGCTGCTGCGCTGGATGCCGGCAACGCATCCGGAAGTGGACCTCTGGATCCAGTCGCGGCCAGTGAGAGCTCGGAGACCTCTACCCGAGCTCAGAACACAGTCGCTGGGAGCGCACTCCGCACCCCAGCACTTCTCCCCGACGAGCGACAGGGGAAGGTTGCTGCGGACACGGGAGGGGACGCCACCTCCAGCACTGCCGGCACGGCAAGTCCTTCTATGGGAGGCAGTGCCTCAGCAGGGCTGGAAAGTCCAAAACCAGATGCCGTGGCTCCTGAGCTGGTCGATTCCCACTCTGTGACACCAGTGATCGCACCAAGGTCACCTGGCCGGCTGGGTATCAATGCGAGCCTTGGCCTGTCGCAAGGCAATGCCTCAGCAGTGGCCCCGCCAAAGGGAGCTCGGGATGCAGGGCTCAGCACCAAGCCTGGCGATGCGATGACCTCCAGGCCCTCTGGTCTCCCTGCGCCAAGTGCTGCCAAGGAGGCTGTGGCCCATGTCGATGCGCTGTCTCTCAGCCAGCCAGCCTCTAAGAGGAAGGGTGGTGCCAGTGTCTATGACATCCTTGTTCAGGTACACAGACAGAGCTGGCGTGACCTACGCATATGTTATCACAGGGCTGCAGGTCTTCTAAGTCTTGCTTTATTTCCGGTCGCCCATTGCTGGTATGAGACCTTAACCTGGCAGAACGCAGCATGCCTCACTTTCCGTGTGAGCAATCACGAGCACACAATTCCCCTCTCGACCCCAGGAGCTCAAGGCGACCAAGCTGCAAACCAAGAGCCTGGCCAGAATCGTGTCGGATATGCAGGCAAACCACACTGGGAGCATGGTTGCCCTTCAAGCCGGTCTGGAGACGGTCAAACGGGAACAGGTACGGTGGTGTAGCGCAATGAGATGCTAACCGTCTGCGCCATTGCTACTCCACTGCTGTGCAAGATTGGCCCTGGTAGGAGCGTCTGAGAGGTGTTTGCAACCGAGTCAAACGCAGACTAAAATGCAAGCCATGCCCCAGTTACTTTGCAGCACAGACGGTGGTCACGCCCAAATGCTCTCACCGTTCTTTCATCCACCCCATTCAATGTAGGAACTCTTAAGCAACAACCCTGCCCCGCACCTGAAAGCATGGCAGGCCAGTCTGCTGAGAGAGCTGGACGATCTCAGAGCGCAGGTCTTCATGCTCTGGATTGCGGTCGGCTCGCTGTCGCTGTGTGTGTGCGCACCGACCATTCTGCGGGCCGTTCAGAAATTACCCCTGCGAACCACCATTGCGGCCCTCATCATCGGAGTTGGAGCCTTCGAGTCCTACCGTGTGCTCATGCTCTGAGATTCCTGCAACCCAATGCACCAGAACACCCAAAACCTTTTCCAGAAGATAACCATGACTTAGGCTCGTACCACCTTGCTTCCTGATCAGCTCTTGAGAAGACATGCTTCTCACTTGAATGCTCGCTTTCTGTTTGCAGCTTGCCCATGCTTGTAAGGTCTCTTGTGGCAGTGTTCAGAGCAGCATTGGCTATTCAAGTGCTCTGACTATGCACCCCCAGATGGTTCCCGGCCTCTCTGAGTGTCATGGGCATCCAGCCTCACGTACAAGCAATACCAGTACGCTCATCAGTTTGACCTGCCGTAGACAGCCCCTGGGACGCCACTTCCCTGGAACATGGCTGCGGCATCTTCCTTAGGGGGTCCCTTGCCAGTGACCTCATTGCCTATGGTGACCCAATGGTTGCGCAGGTTGTTCTTCCTCCCAAAGATCTCAAGATACCGACCTGAGGAAAAGAAGACGGTATGCAGAAGCAGTGATGACATCTGTATGTCTTACGAGGATGATCCTTCACCTCACACCAGAGCAGGTTTGCAATAGAGTCGGCAGACTTTGACAGGCTACTGTCCGGATTCAATGCAACACCTCGTAAAATATTCCTGCCCTTACCTTGAGGAACCAACCTCTCAATAAGTTCATATATCTCTTCTGGCTTCTGGCTCTGCCCCCGTCTTTCACTGAGGTGGCAAGGAAGGGGATGGATGTCGTCGTCGCTGTGGGTGGGACCGCCAAGGGTGGCAACGGGGCTGCGCACTTGTGCTGCTGCGATGACAAGCCAGCCAATTCAGCCCATCATACCTGAGGATGACGTCTGCTCCCACAGACCTCTGGATGCCAGGAGGGTCCCGACCCTTTCTTGCAACCAGGCAGACCTCCTTGGCATGCTGCAGGTAGAATCCGTGGCTCTTGGCCAGACGTCGATTCACTGTCATTTTCACCCACACCACCTCGTCCACCAATCTGACAGAGGATGTGGGAAGGGCGGGTGGTTGAAAGGCAAGCAAGACCTGAGGTCGCACTGCAGCCCAGCCAAGGGTTTTGCAAGTCGCTTGGCTGGTGGGGACCGCCTGAACAGTAGTCGTGGCACCACAGCGCAGCCCCCTCCTGTGTAAGCACAGGACACTCCCCTTCAGGACCTTCCGTCCCCCTTACCTGTACCCCCACTTGCTTAGGAGATCCAGGGTGAACTGATACTTTGCATTTATTACCCAAACAAAGAGGAATCCGTCCTCTTGCAGCCGCGGCACCGGAAGGTTTTGAATGTCGCGGTCCGTTAGTTGGGAGTAGCCCAGCGCCACACCTCGAGTGGGGTTGGCCGTGGCCAATTGCCAGGGCGGGTCCATCATGATGACGTCAAAGCGGCTGGCAGCTATGAGGGCATCCCAGTCGTAGGTTGTAACATTGGCATGAATTGGTATGCAGTGGGGAGGAACCTGTGACCGTTGCAAAAGAGTAAGGGAGATTGTTTGGGTTGTGAGACAATGTCGTGCAGCCTTTGCAGCACAGCGTGTGAGGCAATCCCTCGGCCCGAGGCGCAAACCCTACCCACCTGCCATTCGCTGGGGTCCAAGTCGTCGATGGAACCTGGGTCTTCTTCTTTGGGGGCAGCATGTGAGCCACCCTTGCTCTCAGTGTCAACAGTGGGACGAATCAAGACCTCCACTCCTATAGACGTGGAATGACACCGGGATGAGTGACCACGACGCAACACCGCCTTCCGCACATACGCATCCACAGGAGAGACTCTAGCCTACTGCTCCAATCTTCCTCACCCAATTGACTCAGTTGATTGCCCACGGCTATGATGGCGTTGCGGTACCTCTCGATCTCGTTCCGGAGCTGCTCGGGAGGCAGCGTGTCCCAACTTCGCTCCAGACCTGATAGGTCTCCCTGGAGCAGGGTCTCAATGTCCAGCAGCTGCGCATCTATAGCCGTCATGGTGATGAAACTGGACCAGCCGCCGTGGGTGCCCTTGAGGAGCAGTTTGCTTTGTTCGCAGTCGCTCCCTAGCTTTCGATCGATTTTCGAACCCTGCTGGGGATCCGCTGATTTGACCCCTCCAGCCCACCATCAAGAAAGGTTGGTGATGGTGACCATGCAGCTCATACCTGCTGAAAATCTCACGCATTCAGCCGCAAGGAATATTTATTTCTCGAAATACTCATAAAGTAGACCTCCGGTGGAGCTCGGCGGCTCGGGGTCGCCGGTGGTGCGATGACGACTCGGGCCTTCACCTTCTCCCCAGTGTCAGCTCGGCCCCTCACATACCGACGGTGCAATGTACATGCATTTGCTGTGTCTTCATCGTGCCAATCCCGGGCATCTCTGCATGGGAAAGCTTCCGGCCCGGCCCCGTCGGTCCTGGGAGGTGAGGTAGAGGGATGAAGTGACAATCAGCTGCCATCTCTTCAGCCGGTCGACATTTCAGGCTCGATACCCCCACGGACATCCAATTCGATAACTTCTATACCCTGCAGGATGCCCGACATTGAAGCAGCAGCGCAGAAGCAAGCCCTGCCAGACCCCAGAAGCCCTCCCTGGCGGTTTTGATGAGGACGAGGATGCGGCTGCAGTCCTCCAGAAGCCGCCTTCCATCTTTTGGCGGATGATGTCGGCTCTCTTCTACATGGTACCGTGGATAGACTCCATCTCAGTCGGCCGCTTTATCTACTCTCGCTTCCGCAACCTGATCCTTGTCTACCTTGCAGCAGGTTGGTGTGTATTGGTAGGCTGCGTGGGCACAGGGCACTCCGAAACATGAGTGCACTGCGGCTGTTTATTCCATCTCAGGACCATTCTGGCTGCTGAAGGGCTGCGAATCCATCAAACCCCTTCCACTCCCACGGCAGGTCCACTGCACAATATCTACTTCTCCTCCCAGTTTGCCCCGCTCATCATCTTCTTCCTCCTGTTCCTGGCGGTCGTCAAGAACACCAAGCTGCACCACTTTGTGCGCTACAATGCTATGCAGGCCGTCATGTTGGATATCGTGGTGATGCTCATCCACATCCTGCGCACCTACCTTCCCCCCCATGTGGTGTGGAGCCCACTGAAGGACTGGTGGGATATGATCACCTGGGTCATGTGCTTCTCCACCATCCTCTACTGCGTCTTCTGGACCCTCAGGTGGGGATAAGTGGAGTGGCGGGGAACAAGAACCTGTGGGGGCAACGGTGGTGGGCCTATGCCATCTGTGAGTGACCCTGGAAAGGATGAGGGGAAGTACAGTCCTGTGGAATCAGTCGACCTGCGTCCATAATCGTGGCTCATTACTCACCGATCTCGGCGCATCATGCTGTTGTCGGCCCTTTCTTTTGCTCGAGCCAAAAGCATAAGGTCTTGGGGATGTTCCTCGTTGCTGCAGTTTCCACACACTCGCACCAACTCGCTGTTCCCGCCGTACATTTCATTCATCAACACCCCATACTACGGTTTTGCTAGACCAGTATCCGCATGGAGTGTCCATGTGCAAACTCTTACCCTGAGACCTTTCTACCATGCACAGGGGTTACTATGCGGACCTGCCGTTGGTGTCCGAATCAGTGTATCACCAGGTGCAACTGTCCGAATATTCTTGAGAACGTGGTCTCTTCTGGTCACTTGCTCGGTCCGACCCCCCCTTGACTCCACATGACATTGAGTGTTGACGTTAGTGTAAAAGTACCACGTATGAGAGATGTGGGACGGGTGGGGAGGAGGTAGATGTGCGTGATGACTTGTCCCGGGATTCCGAAAGGCGGTGGAACCTGAACGATTGACCCTCGCTCTAGTGCACTGCCTCCTTGGGACCTGGAGTTGGGGCAATGGGGACACTACACTGGAGGCAAACCCCGACCTTCACCGAGAAGAGATGCATGTACTGAACCTATACGGTAGGAAAGCCACCCTCACAACAACAGTCATTGGCTCGCGAGGGGTCCGCGGATCGAAACCGTGTGAGGTCAACCCCAATGTCCGACCTCATAGCTCAGTTGGTTAGAGTACTCGCCTAACAACGACACCTTTTTGCCTCTGATCACTTGCTCAGTTCCAAAATGGACAGACTGGGTTTGCACTCTGACGCCAAGACCTGGATGCAGTCGACAGCAGGTCATGCTCAACCAGGACTCCATCACCCCTGGGTGTCGATAAACCCTGCTGTCTGCCCATTTGTACAACAATCTCACAGCACAGGCGGAACTACGACAAAACGCTGGCCCCTGTGAGGATCGTCTGCATCCAGCATCCTCTCCCAGGCCTCTGCAGGAGGGTCTTCCCCCTGAACGCCCCAGACATTTGCAAATACGGACGCGAGGGGCGCCAGCTCGGCCTTCGTGAGCGTGGCAGCCACCGCGCGGGAGTTGCGGCCGCCGATGAGGGCCGCCAGGGGAGCTGCCACAGAGGAAACATGGAGGTTCGGGGAGGCACCCACCACCGCGGCGCGAGCCAGCGTGTGAGCGCTCTCGGTCATGGCGCACTGACCCAGACCCACAACAAGGGAGGCAAGGAATGTGCGTGGCAGAGCGCTGGCCATGCGCACAAAGACGCCGAGGACCATGCGCGCAGCATCTGTCAAAGGTTGGTGAAGGTGGGCGAGGATTTGTAGGAGGAGGCGGGAGGTGGCGCAGAGCGGCATGTTGGTTGACTTCCCGACATGCATGAGGGACACATACTAGTGAAGCATCCCTGGCCCACAACTCACCCCAGTGGCCGGCTGCCATGGCAGCATCGGCCAGGTCCAGGCCCTGGGTGAGAATGGACTGCAGGGCCTTTCCACTTGCGGTGGCGTAAACGGTGGGCGGCGCGAGGGGCCTAGCGCCCTCCGCCTCGCCCCTGAAGGGATCGTTGTTCGAGGTGTCAGCAAGCTCGGCGTCCCAGTCGATGTCAGAAGGCTTCACCTCCTCCTCCTCTGCCTCCCCTCCCTCAGCAGCTGAATTGTCGGCACTTCCCTCCTCGTCATCCTCTTCGCTACCTCCCTGCCGATCCTTCTTTCTCTTGTTGAACGACTTGGACGCGGCTTCCCTCTCTGCCGCCTCCTCCTCCAAAATGCGAGACACGGCATCCACACCAAGACTGCCCTGGTCTGCTGGAGGGGAAGGTGCCCTGGCTTGAGAGCAGCTGCATGAGAAGGCACATGGTACTAGAGGATACTCGACAGGCATTGCCACTCCCTTAGGCATCTAGACCCCATTTGTATACGGGCGGGATCACTCTACAATGATGGGGTTGCCACCCCCGCAGAGTATCCGTGCACAGGTACCTGCATGTGCGTCCAGGGCCGCTGAGCTTTCCAGGAGCGACCCTCCCGAGTCTGTGACGACTTGGAGCAGGCTCCTGTCCTTGATCCCCAGGGCCAGGGTCTGGAAAGCGGCAGCAGCCCGGTCCCAGTCCTCGACTCTGTGAGGGCCATCAGGCAGTGGCGTCATGCTGGAGGACCCAAGCCACCAGACGCACGCGGCCCTCCATTCTGAACGAAGCCATAACTTTTGGAGGGCCGGCACAGCATGTTGAGCATTCCAACACCTCGCACCCTCCCACCTGACTGCCAGCGCTGTCTCCACTTGGGGTGATAGGCCAGTGAGCCGCAGGGCCTCCACGACGCCCTCCTGCCCCCCCATGGCCACCAGGTATCGCGCGATGTCGTCGTGAAAGATCGCCCCAAGGCCTGCAGAGTGATGGAGTTGCCTCAACGTTGATCACATGCGCAGTACGGTGCAAGGTGCTGTGCAGGTCATTACGAGGTGCTAGGCAACCATAGCCCCATTCAGGGCGGGAATGCTGCCAGCCAACTCCTTACGAGCAACCTCCCAGCGGACATTCCACCTTATAGAAGGTCCACCCCACATCCAGCACCCACCTCTTTCGGCAATGGTGCGGGCAGTGCTCAACTCGGAGCGTGCTGCCAGGCACCTCAGCCGGACTCCAGCATGCCTCAGGCTGACCAGGTACGGCCTGCCCAGCCCATCTGCCAGCCACAGATAGCTGTGTCGAATGCCCATGAGCACCACAGGCCCGAGAGGCCGCGGCACGGTGATTGGCAGGGGACTTGAATCAGTGGACGGTGCCACCTGCGAGGCAGCCACACCCTCGTAGCTTGCCAGAGGGATGGTCTGCAGCAAGAGGGGCGGGGGGGAGCAAGCGGTGGCCAGGTGGGCAGACACAGAGGGCATGGGGCTGGACCCCAGCAGCGACGGCGACCAGGCTCCTGCAGAGAGGGTGGCGGCGCCTTTCTGGGTGCCGGCCCCCGTCCCATGACAGCAATGCTTACCTGCACAAACTCCTGGGCTGGATCCGTGAAGACCGCAAGGATGGCGGTGGGGGTGGCCAGGAACAGCTGCCGCGTCTGCCAGATGCCGGAGCACGCTTCTGGGATCGGCAGCGAGGCGTATGCCTCGAAGCGAGGGTTGGTTCTACACAGTTCCACGCTGTCTTGGTATGCCAGAGCCAGCACCGTACAGTCTGGCTCCCAGCTGCAGAGGGTGGGGAAATGAGACACACTCTGCCTCCAATGAGCTCTGGGGTGTGCTGGTGGGGCACACACCCAAGACTGCAGATGCAGCACTGCTGTGTGGTGCGCCCGATGCAGAGGACGGCCTCTCAGAGCAGGCCCAAAGCACCCAAGGGTGACACTTCACCCCAAATAATGCCCACGACACTCCCGCCATCGCACCTCAGCCAGCGGGGTTCCGGCAGTCTCGGACCGACGGCTGTGAAATTGGTCCAGCTGAGGAGCTGCAGCCCAGCGTTGAGCCCCTCTCCACCGCTCGCCCTTCCCTCCACCACGACACCCAGCATTGGACCGCCGTGCAACGCCGAGGGCAGGCCGTCGAGGCTTACCCCCTGATTGACAACCCACTGCGCGGCGCGGGATTCGTCCACCACGTGCACCTGGACGTGCGATCCGGGACGCGCGCCGTGTGCTGGTGCCGACTCAGCACTCTCCTCCGGTTTGGGCGCTGAAGTGCTGTGCTTGCGCCTCCCAAAGGCGGCAAACATGCCCTTCTTGGGCTTGGGGGCATCCACAACGACAGGAGGCGAGCACAGCAGAGCATACTGAGACTGGAGGCTGTTCCAGACCAGGGCCGACGCAGCACCTGTCGGATGCAGAGGTGTGTCAGAGTGAGGGGATGGTGGGGAATTTCATGTCATGTTTCTCCCATTTGTTGCTGAGGTGGTTATGGCTGTTATAGCCCAGATGCACGGCATTGCAGGACTGCCTGAATTGCTGCACATGGCCTCATGCGCCACCGAATGAACATGATCAATCCTCCATGCCGTCCCTGCACTCTCTTCGCCACCACCCCTTTGCGGCCACAACACATTTCCCCGCTGACCCGAGTCGATGACCTCCCAGACACCGCTGGGTGCCAGGCAGAACACGCAGTACAGCTGCCGCTGCGGCCAGACCACGCTCACGCTGCGCCCGCTGGCACTGCACGCCAGCAGCACCGGTCCGCTGTGCTCCAGCTTTGCAATCGCCTCCCGGGGACCCTGGTCCAGGCGCACACTCTTCTCTGACGAGCCGGGTGGCCCAGCCGTCGTCTCGAGGCGCAGGCTGGAAGTCCAGAGTGACTGCCCTGCCGCAGCCAGGCAGGTGAAGCCCTGTGCAGCCCGCACCGCAGACGGCGCGTTGGGCGCGGCCTCGGGCATGCTGGCGATCGCGTCCAGGGTCAGCACCTGATGCGGCAGCGCCAGCACAGCAGGGGGGCCGCTCCCGCTGAAACCCAGGAGGGCCAGGCCGGTGTTGGTTGCCACGGCCAGGAGGTGCGGCCTGTGTCATGTGGCGTGCGAGGAGGGATGAGCCCTGTTCTCGACAGCTGTGTCAACAGTGGGCGCCTCGAGGGTCTGCCACGAGCCTGCCCGCAAGGCACCTACCCACCCATGTAACAAGCAACAATGCCCGCACCTGAGGGGATGTCCAAAAGCACCATACACTTTGACAGCCTTCTTCTGGCCAGGATCAAGCCAGCCAGCCAGATCAAGGCAGTGTGAGGACGCCCCAGATTCTGGATGGAGCCCCATGAGGACGGTGGACTCACCTGCACCAAAATGAACCAGGGAGTCAAATGCCAAACGATCAATAACTGAGGAACGGCATCACCATGAGTGCTGATCGCAAAGCTTGCCATACAGTGGGACCCGAGTTCTCCTTTCCCAGGCCCCACCAGATGCGAGAACAAGGGAGGGGGAGCCGCCCAAGCCAGCGGAAGCCCAGGGGCAGTGGACTGCGGAATGGAAAGTGGTCTTGTGCAGCGGTTGCACACTCTTGTGCAGGGTCCAGCTCCCTGTCGTCTGCCACAAAGCAACCCTCTTGTCCTCGCCTGTGGGGTGGTGGCAGTGATGCAAACTGGGTGGAATGCTGACGACATGACGACCCAGCACGATGCAAAGCGGTAGCTGACTGCCATCCCATATGCGCTGAAGGCCTGGATTCATGTAGGAACACGATGAAGCCCACGAGGCCATACCCCAGCGCCCAACCTCCAGACACATTGGAAGCTTCACCTGTTGTGGCAAGGTACTGCACGCGGCTGCTCCCTTCGCCTGGGAAAACCTCCACCAGACAGAGACTTGAAACGGCTGCCTCATGAGCCTTGAAAAACAGGCGTGGAGAGATCTCACGTCGAGGTCCTGGGCCATATGCAGCAGTTGACGGCTCCCAGACTGCAAGGTAGGGGGTGGGGAGGGGGAGGTCGCATTTCAGTCTGACCTAATGTTGATCCCCCTTTGGCAACTTCTCCACCCCCCTTCTAAGTTTGTAGGCTTGCAGTAATGAGCAATATCCCTGCCTTCCCACATTCCTTCCTTTTGCACCTGCTACAGTGCCATCTGCACCCGCACTGATCAAGCGATCTGCGCCATTTGCTGCCTCGCTCCCCAGGACCTGCAGCGCCGTGACAGCACCCTTGTGCGCTCCCACGAGCGCAACCAGGACCTGCAGCGTGGGGGAGGTAGCATCTCTGTGGGGTGTGCAGGCAGAGCCAGTATACTCTGTCCCTTCCTGCTGCCAGGTGTGTCAGCAGTGGCTCTAAGCCATTGCTTCAGATCGCGACAAGGATCAAGGTCAATTGTTGGCGGGGTGAGCTGCAGCCGAGTCCACCCGAACCGCTTGATCATTCATGACATGGGGCCCCAAACTTCACACACCTTCGCCGTCAAGGGGTCGACTACATAGATATTTCCCCCCGAAGTGCCAATCGCGAGGAGTGGAGCAAACCTGGGTGCCATGCTCCTGCCTGCCCCGTCCTCTCCTCCAAGGAGGCCGGGGTGGTGCAGCAGGAGGAGGGCCACGCAGGTGGCAGCCTTACCGTCCACCAGCGAGCGGGGGAGTTCCAGAGTTTCTGGACCCGAGATGCTGTGCAGCACCACCTTGGCCTCACATACAATGCCCAGCCATCGATCGGTCAGGATCCTGTGCCTGCTGGGCACTGCAGTGGGGACGCAGGGACGACTATCACCCGGAGCAGAGTCTGGGCGCTGCGCCACTGTCGCAGCACACATAGGTCATCCTTATGGCCAGGACCGGGTCTTTCATTGTTTGTGGCCACCCAGGAGCTCAGAGGCAAGCCTGATCATCCAATCCTGACCTCACCAATGGTTGGGACAGCTGCGGCCTCCAAGGAACTGCACTTGTGGAGGTGCTGTCTTGCGATCTGCCAAAAACACACGTCGGAATCAAGGAAAAAGACATTCCTGACACTCCCTGTTGCTGAGCTACGGAACAGGTTGTTCAGGGTGGAGGGGCTGGAGTGTTCTGGCTTGGAGCTGGGACCCAGATCTTGTGCCAAGGCAGCATCCAGACCGGTGGCACCATCTGAGCTCCCAAAGCTCGCTGTGTACACCTCCTGAGCAGAGTCAGCGGCCAAGCAAGGAACAACATTTGATTGCAGGTCAGCCAAGTCGTACACAATCTGGGAGAGGTGCAGCAAGCCGAGCACCTCACTCATTGCCAAAATTTTGCGGTCCCCACCTGGTCGCTTTCGAAGTTCCATATACACACAATGTTGTCTCTCCGAGTGTAAGCGATCCAGGGGAGGACAGGGTGGAAAGCCAGGCGGTCCACTTTCTCTCCCGTGCGCTTGACGTTCAGCACATTCAAGGGGTCAGCGGCGGGGGGTTGCATCGTATTGATGGCTCTGACAGGAATCTTGGAGCGAGAATGTTCAGCTCAAACCAAGCTCATGGACGGATCGCTAGTCCGAAAACATCTACGCGCTCGCGATCCACCTCGCAACCACTCCACTGGCTTTGCAGCCCGGTGTACACGATCTGCGAGAACTTGTTCAGCTGCACCTGGATGAGTGCCCTGCTGCCCGGTCAGCCCACCGATGCCGCTGCCCCCTGCCAAGAGAGCGCAGTGCACACTCTGGGAGATCAACTGTCCAGGGTTGTCGCGCCATGCTTGGCGGGAATGGCCACGTCGGAAATGCGTGCAGTATTCCCTGGCCTGGACGGCGATCGTTTCTGTTGTAGATTGAAAGTGCAACGGGAAGAAGGAAAAAGAAAAATTCAGACACAGAAACTTGCTCCTGGGTGACAACGAATCGCTTCCTGGGTGCTGGGCGGACACGGCAGGTTCGTGCCATGCACTTAGCGATGGGGGGTGGTGCTTGAGTGGCCCACACCCCCAAACTTGCTCAACCGGGTCTGCTGGCATGATTTGAGAGGCTATTTATATTGACTGGGTGTTCAGGGAGATGTCTCGATGTCAGCGCGAGGCCTGAATTGTTAGCCCCTCGTCGCCCAAACGTCTACAGGCCCCGTTGCCATGGCGCACAAGCCTTCGGCTGCGGCAGACCTGAAGAAGCCTGTCCCGGCGGAGCTGGAGGGTCTCGCTCAGCCACACATAGACTCATTTGACTTCTTCCTGGGCCAGGGCCTCGAAAATGTCGTGGAGGGCGTGGCAAGTGTGGAGGTGGAGCACCCCATAACCAAGCACCGCCACAGCTTCTGGCTGGAGAATGCCGTCATTGGACGCCCGACAAAGGACGACGCCTCGAGTGGCGCAGACCGTCGCCTGTTCCCCAGGGAGTGCCGCGAGACGGGTAGCACTTACCGCGCCCCGCTGTCGGTGGACGTCGTTTGGCAGGCAGAAGGCCTGATGCAGACCCAGCGCGTCACAAGGAAGCTGGGCCAGATCCCCATCATGGTGAAGTCCCGTGCCTGCTACCTCCGTCACCTGCGACAGGATGAGCTGGTGGAGCAGAAGGAGGAGGCCAACGAGTTTGGCGGATACTTCATCTGCAATGGGAATGAGCGCATCATCCGCATGCTCGTGCAGAACAGGAGGCACTACATCTTCGCCCTGCGCCGCAGCGCATTCCACAAGCGCGGACCTTCCTTCACCGATATGGCCACCCTGCTGCGCTGTGTGCGTCCAGATGAGTCATCCCTCACCAACCGATGTCATCTCCTCGCCGACGGCACCGCGGTTTTTGCCATCACACTGCGTCGTGCAGGTGCGAACTCTGGCCGAACACCGCCTGGGAGATGTCTTTGATCCATGAACTGGAGTCAGAGGGAGCAGACGACGTGTCATGCACAGTGTACGTGGCATGCTGCAACCTGTCGCGGGTCGTTTGCCATGTCCACCTTCTTTGGATCATGTTTCTTTGCAGAGTTCTTCATTCCAGCTGGTATCCTGCTCAAATGCTTCCTGGATGTGTCCGACAAGGAGCTCTTTGACATGCTTGTCCTGGGCGCAGCAAAGGTGAGGTATCTGCATGTGTGCTCCTGCAATGCCCTCAGGAGCTGCCTTGAACACTCAATGGATTGCAGGGCTTTCTGGCAGTACTGAGTGAGACACCAACCATGCTGCTCACCATCCTGTTGTCCCAGGATGGTGGACACTCGTCTTTTGTGGCGGACCGTGCCGAGTTGGTGCTGCATCAGTCCACTCGATTCGGACTGCACACACGAGCCCAGTGTCTGGAGTACCTGGGAGGTCTGTTCCGAGTAGCCTTGAGTGTTCCTGCCCGCAAGACGGACTATCAGGCAAGTCTTGTGGGTGCAGTGCAAGGTCTGAGTGAAAGGGTGTATGCTGGATTCATAGCAATGCCAACGTGACATGTTTGGCCGACTGGGTCTGTTTCGCTGAGGAAGTCATCACACCTGAAACCCACACCCCAAATTAGGTTGGAGAGCTGCTTCTGCGTGAGAACCTCTTCATCCACGTTGAACACCCTGCCGACAAACTCCAGTTGGGGTTACAGATGCTGCTGAAGCTCTATGCTCTGGTGGGTGGGTGACCCTCTTGCCAGTGTTTCTCGGCGCTGGCGTGCTCGAGACATGCTCGTCCTGCTTCAATCCACCGTTGGGAGCTCTTGTTTTGGCATGACAGTAATCCTCACATCATCTACACACCTCCTCAGGCGAACCGGCAGTGCTGTGAGGACAACCCAGATGCCCCTACCCATCACGAGCTCCTGCTCCCTGGTCACCTGCTCCTAAAATTCATGAAGGACCAGCTCGAGAATTGCCTGGACGCTGCAACAGCACAAGTATGACTTAAATTTTCTGCTTCCTGGTGGGCCACAATGATTCAAGAGCCCCGTGTGCAGATTGATCCGACTCACGACATGCCTCTTGCCCAACTACCTACTGAGCACAGATGAAGAGGGATCTGGAGAAGGCCCCAGAACTTGTGAACCTCACGGACGAGCAGTATGTGCAGAAGGCTTGCGAGAAGATGTTCGACGTGGTAAGGCAGTGTGATTCTTCCAGCTGACAAGAACTTCACGCAGTGAGGTTATTTATCTTCTGGCATTCGAATACCTCCAATATGTCACGACCTTCAACGCCCCAACCACACAGGGACAGAAGGTCGAATATCTGCTGAACACCGGCAACCTGCTTTCCAAATCTGGTCTAGATCTCAGCCAGGCCACGGGCTTTACAGTGCTCGCTGAGAAACTGAACTTTCACAGGTGCGGACCCTGCTACTATAGGGATTACCGCAATAAACATCAGCGAATCGATGATGAGTTCCCTCTACAGGGTGTTTTGTCAGTGGAAGTTCTACAATGAGACAATCAAATCCAATTGATCCTTCTGAGATTCGTAATATCGCCGAGAATCTGGTAATCTTCTTGAAGTCCAGTTACACAACCCGACACCCGTGCATGCTGCAGGTATATCTCCCACTTTAGGTCGGTGCATCGCGGAGCATACTTCGCGGAGCTGCGCACCACGACCGTCAGGAAGTTGCTTCCGGAGTCCTGGGGCTTCTTGTGCCCTGTCCACACGCCCGATGGGTCTCCTTGTGGTCTGCTGAATCACCTGACAGCAGACTGCCGGGTTGTGGCCAGGGAACCGGACAACCCAGAAGAGATTGAGAGGGCACTGACGCTGGTAAGATGTATGGATTGCACAGTAATGTCCTAGGCCTTGTGCCCCAGAATACTGATGTCACACTTTCGCTTGAGAATCTTTGCAGGTTCTGTGCAGTCTGGGCATGAAGACGAGGTCCTCGGCATTCGCCGCTCCTCCAACCGCGAGTTTGTTGGTCATGCTGGACGGCAAGATTCTGGGAAATATCGATCGATCGTATGCTGCAGCAGTGGTTTCACATCTCAGGAGCGTCAAAGCTGCGAAATTGGCCCTGGAGGAAAATCTTACTCCAGGTTGGTGGGGTGTGTTCCTAATTTCCGAGAATGAAGCCTTAAATCTCGGGAGCATTGCCTGGCTGCGTTGCTGTGCAGGACGCTCACGTTTCGGACGCTCTTAAGCTGACATAGGAGTTATTCATCGATTCATAGGGGCGAAGACCAGCCAGCTGTCAGATGTAGAAAGTGTTCTACCCAGCAACACGGAGATCGTCTTTATTCCCTACGAGAGAGGCGCGCCATACCCAGGAATATACATATACACTCAGGTGATTACCGGTCTTGCCAGACAATTATCCGGTGACATCATCTAGCAACCACTGAATTGGTGACCTTCACCCCACAGGCTGCTCGGATGGTCAGGCCGGTGAGGCAGATCCTGAGCGGTGCCGCAGAGCTGATTGGTTCCCTGGAGCAGTGCCACATGTCCATCCGGTGTCCAGATGGTGGACCTGGTGGAAGCAAAAGACTCAAGTTCACGCACACAGGTGTGGGGAAGTGGGTGGGCTGGACACAGGACTTACTGTGTAAGGCATCACGCTTGACCAATATTGGCTCAGACCTCGCGCCCACTTATTTTCACGTTTGCCTAGTGGACATGGGACCAGAACACAAAGCTGGATCCTCCCCTTAATCCACAGAGTTCAGCCCATACGCGATGCTGTCCGTGGTGGCTTCCCTCACTCCCTACTCGGATTTCAATCAGTCGCCCAGAAACATGTATCAGTGCCAAATGGCAAAGCAGACCATGGGATTCCCGATACACGCCACGGAGCATCGTGCAGACAACAAAACTTATCGGCTGCACACGCCCCAGACACCATTGGCACGAACGAGAAGGTATTGTGGGGAACATTCCCATATTGCAATGATCTCTTGCTTAAGAAAACAGGTTTCTGGAAAATGCTACCAGGCTCTGCACAAGCCCGAACCCTCATTCATACTCGCAGGTATAGCAAGTACCACATGGATGAGTACCCAAACGGTACAAATGCGGTTGTAGCTGTCCTCGCATACACAGGTATATTTTGTTTTCTCAAGAGCTGATGAGGTACAGCGTGATGCATTGGATTGCCAGTCAGCGCTGTTGGAAACTGTCCTTGTACTCTGATCGCAGGGTATGACATGGAGGATGCCATGATTCTCAACAAATCCTCAATCGAACGAGGTTTCGCTCACGCTTCCATCTACAAGTCCATAAATGTCAATCTGCGGGACGAGCGTGGCAGGTGAGAAGACATTGTTGCCTTTGCCAAATACCGTTTGCAGACATCCTTGTCCTTGCACCCACACGTAAACCCGCGTTCCATATGGCAGGGATCTCAAGTTCGAGGCTAACACATCGGCAAAGCGACGAGATGGTACTGTACGACCAAAAGGCGCCTTCGGTGAAGAATATCCACAAGCAATTCCTTCTCACGCGACGTTTGCTTCCACCAAGGATCAAGGGTGAGACACTTTACAGCTTAAAGACATTTCCTACTCTTTGCGGTATGGCGTTGGAAGTTGCATTGTTAGTACCTTGCTTCAATCCTACTATTCATGCCGCGCAGGGTTTCAGTAGTTGGGACTCACGCTGACGCTCTGTTGATAGATTCAGACGGTTTACCTCATGTTGGCTGCCCAATCTGGCCGGGACAGCCCTACTACAACGCGAAGGAGACGCTCACTGGTTCCAACAAAGCTGGAAAGCTGAAGGGAGAAGAAACGGCCATCATAGAACAAGTCACCGTCATAGGGGGTGGTAAAGGAGCAGACATCAAGCAAGCCTCCATCAAGATGAGGTTCAACAGAAATCCAGTCATTGGTGCGCCGAGTGGGGCCATGTCCATGAAGTATCCTGGAATGGAAGTCAAAGGCGTACCTAAAGAATGTTCTGTCCTTTGCAGGCGATAAGTTCTCGTCTCGTCACGGACAAAAGGGAGTGCTCTCGAGAAAGCTGGATGATGTGGATATGCCCTTCTGCGAGAGGACAGGCATCCGGTAAGATCTTGGGTTGACGGTCCTTGCCGCAGTCTGTTGTATTCTTTCGGTTCTATGATCCTTGGTATCTCCCTCCACACGCTGTAGGCCTGATCTGATTATCAATCCGCACGCGTTCCCGTCGCGTATGACAATTGGAATGCTGATCGAGTCCCTCACCAGTAAGGCTGGAGCTGTTTGCGGTGAGTTTGTGGACGCCACTCCCTTCAAGAGCAGCGAAGGAGACTCGTCCAGTGTTTGGGAGGGGTACGGCAAGAAGCTGGAGGCTGCAGGATTTACCAAGAACGGAGGAGAGACAATGATCAGCGGCATCACCGGGCAAGCTTTCGACGTGGACATTTACATCGGCCTGGTCTACTACCAAAGACTTCGTCATATGGTGTCTGACAAGTTCCAGGTCAGATCCACTGGCCCGATCAATCCCTTGACCAAGCAACCTATCAAGGGGAGAAAGTTCGGTGGAGGCATCCGCTTTGGTGAAATGGAGAGAGATTCACTGCTGGCGCATGGAGCTGCATATCTGCTGCATGATCGCCTCCACAGTTGCAGTGATTACTCAGTCTGCGACGTATGCACCAACTGTGGCTTGACCTTCTCAACCATGGCCGTTCCGCTGGCTGCCTCCGAGGCCAGCGGTGTGCGGGCAACCGCTGACATCTCCAGAAGCTCGGTTACCTGCCGAGTCTGCGAGACCAGCAAATTCATCGAACGTGTGGCCGTTCCCTATGTCTTTAGATACCTTATGGCTGAACTATGCTCGATGAACATCAAGTGCTCTCTCAATGTTCAGTGCCTGTAAGCTAGCAGTACTACAGAGGTAGCTCACGGTGAAGCTCTCAAGTATTCACAGCCAAATGTTTGAAAACGGCACGATCAACAAGGGAACTGATGCCCTGTAGCTTAAACACAGGTCCCAGCAGCACACGATATCGCGACGGTCTACGATGTACAACTTTCTGTTCCTGTTGGCACAGAGACAAGCCACTTCGCCATCGCCAGCCGAAATCTATTCGCATACTGCTTGGGAGAGATGATCGTCGGCTCTTTACCACCACCTCCAAGCAAGCCAGATTTCTTGACATACATCTCGAGCGCCTTGTCCAGTGTGAACTGCAGAATTGGGAGAATGTCGGCAGTTGCATAAGAATGGAGTCCTGACAGATATCACCTTACTACCGTGATCCGTCTACTCACCTGACGAATGAAATCAATCACTCCGATGACAAGCTGCCGACGATTCTTGTCTACTCCAATGAGAAGACTATAGTCCATCACATCTTGATTTGCCAAGAATTCTGCAATGAATTGATATATGGATCACATTATATGTGGGAGGGCTTGTAATCGTCTATTACCAGACAGCACCACACTGCTTGTACCCTGTATTAGCAAATGTACTTGCATGAAGTACATAGTCACAGCCAGCAAAGACAAATAACACCTTCGCACGCCGCCTTACCCGTATCTTCCTGAAGAACTCCCTTCAGATGCTCAAATGAGGCGGGCGTTATGGACAAAGGGTTGTTCAGACTGATCTCCTTCAGATTCTGGTCCAAAAGAACAGTGCCTGCGGATGTCGCGGGCAGAGGGTTGCTGCACACGCGCGCGACCGTGTCCTGATTGCCAGTGATATGGTCCAATGAAATGGATGTGCGTACCTCGCGTGCTAGCTCCTTGTGCAACATAGCGATCCCTCTCCGACCCCTTAAGATCGTAGATCCTATGTATATCACATCCATAGAAGATGTTCTCCATTATGAGGAAGTCAATGGTCTCAGATTTTCCGATTGTAGCCTGCCTGTCGCTCTTAAGAGTAACCTGCGGTGCGAGCATGCTGACTTAGAATAAGGATATACAAACATCTTCAGACGGCCACACCGCATCATACCTGGTACACTCCCAGGATCTTGGCCAAGCTCGTGCTTGTTCCCGTAGCCTGGGCTGTTCCCCAGTAACGTAGAAATGTGGGACCACTTTCCAGGAAAGACTGCTTCTCCAGACGAGACAGTTCCTTGACAATGAACCTACAAGGAATGGGTGGAAAGCGTCAATGCGGTGTGCAGCATTGCAGAGTCCAAGCACAGCTCAGCCAGCCGCAAGCGCCGTACCCCATGAACTGATCACCTGTCGTCTTTGGTCTTCGCAAAGTATACATTGGACTTCCCGCCCTTTGATTCCCATTTCTGGCACCTACTGATGGAAGTCAGAAAGCTTTGCTCGCCTCCGAACACACAAAGTGACCGGAGAGCTGCAAACTGAGGGGCAAAGTATGCGAGTACCTGTGGTGGAGGAGGGGAGCTGATCAAATCCTCGTCCACTGATATAAGGTTCATTGTGTCCCCAATCTGTGACAGTGCCCACCTCCATTCCGCTCGATGTGTTCAAAGCAGTGTCCACTGAAATCTTGCAGTCCAGTTGCTCGTCACACTGGAGCACTGATATATCTGTAGATGGTGAATAGTGCTCCTGCAAGAGTCCCTCTGATGTGGGCGAAGCTAGATCTTCAAGATTGCCGGTCGTCGCAGCCAATATCTCCCCCGTTGCAGCCTGAACATACTGTGTGTAAGCTCTGCAAAAGACAAACATGGGCATCCTGTTTGAAAATATGAATCTCACATCTACTTGTGAGGGTGGGGTACGCTAGCGGTTCATAAAGGCCAGCAGCATGTGACTTGGCACCTTGCAAGGCACGCGTGGATTTATCCTATCACGTACCTTGTTGATAACGCATACGCCACACATGATGTCGGTTCATCTTCATACACAGTGATGTAGTGCCCATCATCAGCGGCCAATGTTGAGACTCCTTCCGTCTTGAAGCCCTGCCTGAGTCGGAGTTGAGATACTCGCCCAGTCTTACTGGGTGGTAAGGGAAGCCTCGAGAATGGCTCAGGATTGAATGTAGCATCTTCCGTTGCACCGCTCGTCTTGTCATTTGGAGAGGCTGGTTTCGGTGCCGCACTCGTGGTCTTCTCATCGGGTAGAAGATCAGCCCACAACTCGAAATGGCTGGCAGCTTCAGTGGGCGATGCAGCGGACTGTGGCATTCGAGTGGAAGCGGGTCGATCGATGAGGCAATCAAGCAAGCTTACTGAAGCGGGAAGAGCCCTTCTTAACTCACTCCTTGCCCTGCTTACCTCCACAGGGGATTCCGAGATTGGAGCTGGCCCTGGAAGGGCTTCAATCTCTGCCAAGAGGGTCTCAACTGGATCATCTCCCACATTTCCCAGTACCTCTGTTATTTAGGTGGCAATCGAAAATTTTAGTCAAGGTGCTGGAATAAGCACAATCAGGGAGGTCCCCTGGACGAGTGCACGCACACACAAGTGGAGTACAAAACCAACACACCTTTAATCTCGGCAGTACTGGATCTTTGGGGCCTGGCAACCTCCACATTGGTGAGCATTGACTTCCGGCGCGACATATGCGCTCCTGTGGAATCTGGTGAAGGATGCGTTTGACACTTGACTGGCAAGTTCTCGAACCCTCGCTGGATCACCTGGGGAATCCAAACATACCTGCCCCGGTATTGCTGTGCACCTCCAACGCTGCCGAGTTGATGGACGGATGCGGAGACTGCTGCAGAGAGGATTCTTGAAATTTGGCAACATATCTTGCCACCAGCCCGGTGGGAATGATGACGTTGTCGCGCTCTCCCAGTTCAGAAGCCTCCGAGAGAGCTGCATCGCTATTTAGGAAAGGTGTCGCGAACTTAGAAGTTGCATCCATGTTTGCCGGCGATCTGACGTACATCTGGGCGAACTGCTCGGCCAGGCTCGCGCTGTGCCCACGTTGGTGCCGAGGAGGTGAGTCTTTAGATGCTTCCAAGGACCGGCCAAGGTTCTCAGAGCTTGGAGATTTACCCGTGGCGCCCAGCTGAGGGATCTCAGCGGCAGGTGGCTCCTTCGAAGTCTTGGCAAACGCAGTCTTCTGCTGCAGCCGCTCAAGTCGCTCGGACCATGCCTTATGGCAAAGCTCCGACACCCTCTTAGCATAGTTGATTTCCCAAACCAGGGGGGAAAGGATGGTATCGGAAGGGAGCTGTGTGTTGAGAGCTACGATGTGGCTGTGAACATTCTTGCCCTGCGATCAGATACGGTGAAATAATAATCATTCTTCGTAGGTGAATACGATAATAGGGAGATGCATCAGGAGTCAACAGAGGTACTTCGCAGCAAATTCATCCACTTACCAGACGCAGGAGGCACCTTCTTGTCTTCTTCAGGGCTTGTTGCCATGTTGCATGGCCCTGCTTATCGATCTGAAGCGTCCTCCAAAACTCTTCCACAGCAGCCTCGAGATTGCTCAGGTGCTCATCCGCCGTCTGCAAGAGAGTGCTGACACTGTCATAATTGTAACCAACGTCAAGCGAAACCGACAAGTCAAGCCACCGTGCGCCTACCTCTGTGAAATCTTTCAGCTCTTCCTGCAGCCACCGCAGCTCCAAGTCTGACTGCCAATCTAATGGCAAAGAGGGCATCTGGATAGTGTACGGCGTTGCTCGAGTGTAGTGCAAGCATAAGATGACAGACCTGGAGCCGATGTATCGAACGTAGTCGGTCTGCACATGTGCAGGAATTAGGAACTTCCTCTGATGTAAATCAATAAGCTCAGATAGATCGAATCCAGTTGAAAACCCGAAACAAGACCCCTGGATGATCACCTGTAAATCTGTCCCTCCAAGCTCAAGATGCCGGACATCCAGCAGCAACGTCATAAAGTGTGCAAAAGATATGCAGGCCGCATCCGCATCCAAAGCCACGCGATGAGTGTCGGTGTCAGATGCTTGCTGTAGGGGACGCAACCAGATCCACAGGCGATCATCTGCAAGGAGGGGGCCGTGCTTTCGTGTAGCGCGAATAACTAGGAATGTCTGTACAATATTTGCAAGCTTCTCAGACGCATGGTACCTGGAAGTTGTTTTCCCTCGCCCAGGCGGATGCACGAGAGCGTCACCATGCTGTCCCCATGCATGAAGTTTCTCAGATGGACAAATGCTCCCTCTCCACACTCAGGGTGGGGACATCTTTGCCCAACGGGGGCAGCATGTGCCATGAAAGCACCAAGTGGTACATCTGAGTTGAAGTATGGAAGGGAGAATCTTGGGTTCGGGCAAGGGTCATGAAGGTTAACCCAGGCTCATGATGCTTTTGCACCCAAATGATTGTAATGGGACCAGGATTTGGGTAAAGGGCTTTCTCAGCACACCAACCACGACCATGTACTCACCCGCATCTCTATAGAATGGCATTGATATCGCATGCGGAGCTTCACACATCACGCCCTTGGATGGATTCTTGCACATGATCGTCAGAGACAGGGCGCCCAGGACTGGTTCTGTTGACGTAAAGTTGCCTGGGGTGGCGATTGCATCCTCAGGCGACAGCCTCTGCTCGTTCTCCGCATCAAGTCCTACGTCCACCAGAATAGATTGCGGCACATCCACTAGGGTCGCTGGTGCCGCAGAGGAGGACTTGTGCTGAGAGCTCGCAAGAGGTCTTGCTCCTGGCGCCCTACTTGAGACAGCAGCTGCCGATACTGGAGCTGCACTGTCATACATGCTGTCCGGTGGAGCATAGAAGGAGATGAAGGGTGATGGTGACCAGGCTCCATGCTGCACCTGCTGGCGGGCACGGCAGGCCTTTGCAGCAAGCGTAACGGCCTCCTCAAGATCGCCCACTGACGACTGTGGATCTGAAGGGGCCGCGGCGACTGCAGCAAGAAATTGACTGGTGAGGAATGCCACCTCCAGGCGATTCCAGTAAGACGCAAAGATGTAGTCCTTGAGGATTGTCGTCACTTTGTTAAGCTCCTCTATACTGGCGCCGCGCAGAAGCACGGTTACGCCAAGTGGTCGGGGGCAGCCGTCAAAGCTCATGAGACTCTGCTGCTTGCCCATGGGGACCAATGCCTGCCCAGGCTGATATGAGGCCTGTGCATGGATTGCTCAAACCACGTCATTTGTCGAGAAGTGTGAGAGTGCTGACGGACAAGGGAGGCAGCAGTAGATTCACGAGCAGGTACCTCACCGGTGTAGCTGCTGCTCCGCCGCTGTCGCTTGTTTCGATCCATGTGGAGACGGCAAAGTCCTTGCAGAATCCAACATTTCTTCCGCTCAGAGTGTTGACATCTTCAGCCACCTGAAGTAATCGGGACGGAACTCACAACTGCAAGTCAGTAAGCTGACCAGGCCTTAGGCCCAAGGACACTTTCACTACACTATGTCTCCACCCCCTCTCACCTCTGCCCCCATGCACATCGCCAGTCGTTCCAAGGCCGCCAAGGAGACATTCAGAACAAGAGCTATTCCATGCTCGAGGAACATGTCCTGCCATGCATCAGTGTTGTATTTCGTTGGGGCAAATGATGATCAATTGAAATGCATGTCAAACAGGGAACAGATCTGGAAGTTTCCATGCAGGCCTCAGTACCTACCTGTGCAGAACGACTCACGGTCTTCTCCACCAATAGGATCGTAGGTTTGAATGATACGATGTGCTGCACGATCTTCTGCAAATAGTCTTCCTCCTGTGCAGATTGAGAAGTACACAGGCGATTTTTTCACACAGCACGAGTGCCATGGATACGTGGTATGCATGCGGTGCGCCCAATCAGCTGGACCATGCCCAGTACTCTACCCTCATCAGCCCTTTTGTCTCACCTGCTGCAGCACAGAGTCAAGGCTAGACAGAGTGTCTGCCTTGTACTGCAGAGCCCCAGACAACAGCATTATGCGTGGGTGTTGAGCAGAAATTGGCATACGCTTGTGCGCAACATTTTTAAGCAGGCATACGCCCGCCACGATTTCGCTGTCCTCTGGAGCAAACTCCCCATGAAGTAGGAGCACCTGAGAAATGAGGGGCGGCGAAAGGAAGGGTTCTTCGCCAGGAGTGCAGAGCTTTCACAGTAGTTTAGCTCACCCCGGGAACCAGCACGCCTACCTCTACATAGTTCCGGGGGTTGAGGTCCCCATGTGCGGTCACAGCCGAAGGAGATAGACTGCTCGCTGCAGCATCAGCCAGGCGCCAGATGACGGGTAGCCATTCAACGACGCGCTCTGGTTGGAGCACGGCACTCAACTGCACTCCAAGCAGAGTTGTCAGATGGTCAACCGCGATCTTGTTCAACTCCGCCGTGATAGGGGCTCCTTTCTGCAGCGTTTCGCTGCTGTCTATCTCTGGTATGTCCCAGGTGAGGGCTGGGGATCGCCTCTCCTCCGGAATGTGGTCGTCTGAAGACATCCTCAGGTCCTCTTCACCACAGTGACTTCCAGCACCTGCAGGTTCTCTTCCTCGCCCGATTCATTTTCTCCTATTCACGCGAGTAAAAATTACGGCCTCTGATTGCAGAAACTTTTTCCTGGTCTTTCGCTTCGTCTTCCGGAAGCACACCCAAAGACAGCGCAGACCACGGTGTTTGAGATTATTGTTCGTACACTTGTGCCGAAGCCAGCTTTCGTTTCCTATTGTCTCAGCCTCATCTGGCAGATGTATTGCTCCATAGCCTCCAGAGACGGAGAGGGATCCCATCACTCCGACAAACCCCGCGGATGCACAGCATGCGCGCCGTGGAGGGGACATCTCCCTTGGGTTCAGCGGCGCTCCCTGCCGGTCCACACTTTACACCCGTGGACCGGACACTTCGCAACATTCACATTACATAACAATGCTGGCTATCACCGGCACGGCTCGGGCGGTAACCGTCCGAGTGGGCTGTGCCTCTCGCGTTGTCGGCGCTCCTGCCGTGCCACGGTCATTGAGATACCAGTTCGGAAAGAGTTCCATCCAACACGTCAGGTAATAAGGATGCGCTTGGCTAGTCAGTCAAGAGTCCTAAACCCCATCCATCCAAGGCTCATCTGCTTGCATCGTGCAGGTCTGCGCGAGTGAACAAGGGTCGAGGCCTCACGACACCCTGCTCGATGAGCCAGGCATCGCCTACCACGTCTGCCTCACCAAGGGCATCTGCAGCATCGAAGGGCCAGGTCCTGGTGTCCGTCTCTGACAAATCAGATCTTCTGCCATTTGTCCAGGTGCGAGGCCGCCAGTATCTCTTGCTGTTGGGGTTTGGCATGGGCTCCCATGGCGTGTCCCTCTCCCTGACAGGTACACACCCCACAATGTCGAATTCCAATGGCAATGCAGGGACTGGTTGAACTAGGATACGACATAGTCTCTACAGGAGGCAGTGCATCTGCCCTGGACAAGGCAGGCGTTCCTGTTCGCCACGTCGAGGATGTGACAGGATTCCCTGAGATGCTTGATGGTGAGAGGGCTTGGAGCCCATGCTAAGGATGTTACACGTTATTGGGCCCATCACCATGTGTCGTTTTGCATGCCTCCTGTTTTGCAGTGGCGTTGATGAGCCGCCAATGTTCTTCCAGTCCAATCCATCGTCGAAATCCGCAGGGCGCGTCAAGACCCTGCACCCAAAGGTGCATGGCGGCATCCTTGCTCGCAGGGATGTGCCTTCCCACATGGCAGCTCTGGAGGAACACAGCATAGATCTGATCAACATTGTCATCGTAAACCTGTACCCCTTCCGTCAGACCGTCACTGCCGAGCAGAAACCTGCCTATGAGGTGCGGAACACTGGCGGATGCAGCAGGCCCCATGCATGTCTGGTGACAGAGGACACTTAAAGAGACCGTATCACAGATGGCCAGCTAGACTGCTGACCCTGGCCTCCTCAATGAAATGGCGATCCGTGCACCCCTTTCCACTGCTGTGTAGGTGGCTGTGGAGAACATCGACATTGGCGGTCCCTCCATGATCCGCGCTGCAGCCAAGAACCACGCCCATGTCTTGGTAGTTGTGGAGCCCGCCGATTACCCTTCTGTCCTCGAGGCCCTGCGGAATGGGAAGGCGGATGCCGCTCTGCGTCGCCACCTGGCATGGAAGGCTTTCCAGCACACGGCCACTTATGATGCCACTGTCGCCGAATGGTTCTGGGGAGAGATAGGTGGGTCATTCATTTCTGCGGAAGGGGGTGGAGGTCTGTGAGCGAGTGAGGATTTCCTTATGAGAAGGCGGTCAAGCAGATGGTGGCATTGCTCCACATGGTCTGCAGCCAGCTGGAACCCTAAGAGTCATTGCAGAGCTCTGCACATGCCAGATGCCACATACAAAGCGGACATGCCTGTCCATTTCTACCCTTCGTCACTCCAGCATCTCTCTCGCCGCAGGGTCTGGGCCAGCCCCCGAGCGCTGCGTGCCCATGAAGCTGGGCGCCACCTTGCGCTACGGCGAGAACCCCCACCAGACCGCTGCCTTCTACACCGACGTTTCCCTGGGCGAACACGGCCGAGGCGGCGTGGCCACCTCCCTGCAGCATCATGGCAAGGAGCTGAGCTACAACAACTACCTGGATGCCGACGCGGCCTACCTGGCCGTGTGCGACATCGTCGACCCGGCATGCGTCATCGTCAAGCACACCAATCCCTGTGGCGTGGCTGCCCGCGAGGACCTGCTGGAGGCATACCGCCTGGCCGTACGCGCCGACCCCACCAGCGCCTTTGGTGGCATCGTGGCCTTCAACCGCACCGTGGACGAGGCTCTGGCGCGGGAGATCAGGGAGTTCCGAAGCCCCGCCGACAACGAGACCCGCATGTTCTATGAGATCGTAATTGCACCGGGGTACACCCCAGAGGGCCTGGCTGTGCTCAAGGGTAAGAGCAAGGCCCTGCGAATCCTGGAGGCTGCACCCAGGGCCCCCTCTGGGGACTCTTTGCGCCAGGTTGCCGCTGGGTGGCTGCAGCAGGATGCCGACAGCCTTGTGCCCAGCCAGGTACGACGGGTTGCAGCGCCAGCATGAGTGGAGGTGCTGGAGAAGGTGGCAACGCCGTAAATGGTTTCACGTGGTCCTGGTGGAGGGCACTGTGATGTATTTGATCATGCACCTCCCTCCAAGATGTGGGTTCAGTTCTAGGATGGATATGCTCACTGTCTGCACAGCTCGAGAGGTGGTTGCCCTTGCATCATATTCCAATTTTCTTGACGCAAGTGCTCAAGCTGCACCCTCAAATGCTGCAATATGCAGATCGACTTCAAGGTCGTGTCGGAGGCACAGCCCACCCCGCAGCAGCTGGAGGACATCAAGTTTGCCTGGCAGTGCGTGAAGCATGTGAAGTCGAATGCCATCACGGTGGCCAAGGACAGGCGCCTGCTGGGCATGGGAAGCGGACAGCCAAACCGGGTCAAGTCTGTTCAAATTGCTCTGGAGAAGGCAGCGGAGGAGGTCAAGGTAGGCCCCCAGGGGGTGATGCACGATGGACTCGTGGAGGCCTGGTGCCTCATGCTCAGTGGAACTCTGGGCAAGGGCTCCAGCAAAATTCTCTCCTCCCAGGCGCTGCCCTCAGATGGACGTCTCCCATCTGCACAGGGATCTGTGCTTGCAAGCGATGCCTTCTTCCCTTTCAGCTGGAACGACTCGGTGGAGATTGCGTGCAAGGCTGGTGTCAGCGCTATAGTGCACCCAGGTGGCAGCCTCCGGGACCAGGATGCCATCGATTGCTGCAATAAGTACGGCGTCGTGCTCCTGACGACGGGTGTGCGTCACTTCAAGCACTGATTCTGGGATCTGATGCTCCCGCTGCCCATATATGCACCAACGGAGGCATGCACCCACTGGTCTTGGGAGCTGCACCGGATACACCTCATTCTACATGCAGTGCATGTACTCCTGGGGTTGGAAAGGCAGGATGCACGCCAGACGCTTGTCAAGGAGAGCCCCATGCTTGTAATGGGATGGTAAGTGCCATTGCCACCTCATTCAGCCACTCAGTGCATTATCAGCGGTAAAGGGGAAGAGGTTGTGGGGGGCGACTATACAGGCCAGGGTACAAGCAAACACAGCGGAGCATGAACGAGAGGAAGCAAGCACCAGGCGAGTGGGACCCAGGCAGCAGCTGTACCGCTGAGGCGCGCTTCTCGTTTGGCTGCCTACGAGATCCTGGTCGCGTGACATTGGTCTCTCGGTGCGAAGCAGCAGGCCCTGGCAGAAGTTGACGGCAGTCAGCGATACTGAGCTTCACTTGCGCCGAAATCTGGCATGGCGGGAGGGGCGAAGCGGTCGTCTGGAAGCACCTGAGCACCAGCCTGTGGTGCTCGGTTCTCTTCCTTCTTAGCTCCCCCAAACCAGGAGGGCAACCAGCTGCTGCCAGCCTCAGGCACAGGCTCGGGCATCTCCAGGGCAGGGGAACTGGGCGCCAGTCCCACCGGGGCCTCCGCAGCCGCAGCCATGCCCTTCCCCGTGATGGGGGCCGGTCCAGGCATCTCCACCATGGGCACCGGGGCCGGTGGCGGGGCGGTCATACGGGTCAGCAGGATGCCAACACCCTCGATCATGCCCAACAGCACGCCACCGAAGGCCGCGGATCGTGCTGCAGACCGCAGGCCCGTCCGTAGCTGCAGGAAGCCACCGGTGAGCGCACCCGCACCGATGCTGTTCCAGGGATCCTCTTTCTTGCGCAGGGCCAGGAGCGTGCAGTCGAATGTGCTGAAGAGACCGCCCCACACAGCAAAGCTGCCGCCAATTTTAGGGGCCTCTCGCCGAATGGACTGCGCTTGGCAGCAGGAAGAGTAGGATATGTAGGGAAGGAAGCCAGTGGCTTGCTTGCAACAGCGTATGCATACATTCTGTTGCTGGGCGAATAGAATTGGTGCTGTAATCCAGCCCGACCACCACAATACCGGCCCTGGGATCAGTCCAGCGCGCCAGAAGCAACGGGACATGTACACTGGCCCCTCTAACGTCAGTACAGACCTCCCAGGCAAGAAAATTCCCACCGCTAACGGACTCACATCAATGCCGCCTCGAAATCGAGCACCGCTGGGGCTGTTCTTCATGCCCTTGAACAAATGCCACAACCCGCCACCGACGGCCCCCATTCCAAACGCGCCACCCACGTCATCCAGAATCCTGCAAGGGTGCACTCGACATGTGTATGGGAGGCGATCGTAAGCCTGCAAGGGAATTATTATGTCGACAGCCGCACAAAAGCCAAGAGTTGGAGCACTGCACTCCGCCCATGCATCAAGGTTTCGTAGGGCCGTCACCGTCACCCCGCCCACCTGTCCGGGCAAGGCTCCTGCGCAGAAATACAGGGATGTAAGTTACCCACATGACGCAAAAATACAAAGCCTCGTGGCTGCAAGAGCCGCGGGTCGCAATCAAGGTATGCACTCCTCAAAGCATGCGGGACTCACCCGACCATGATCGACGCTTGGACCTGACGGCGCGCTCATAGCTTTCGAAGAATTGAAACAAAAAGGCAAATCTAAGGAGCAGATTGGGTGGAGCTGGGCACCTCCCGGCGCTCTCCCTGCCGGGCTTCTAGAATTGTTCAGGCGCGGCCCCGCTGCGCAATCCCAGGGTGCTAGCGCAGCTACAAAAGTTCCTCAAAGACCCCTTATGTACATCAGCCTTCCCGTGGTGTGCAGCGAATCACCCCATTCCAGCCCTGTGTGAGCCAGGGCGATTGCGTTCGCTTCTCCGTAGTACCCTCCAGCGTCAAATGTTGAGATACCGTCCCGGACCTCTCTGGCACGGTGCATTGCACCCCTGATGAGCCCATCATGAACAGCGAGGGCAGGTGCACAGCGGGTCCTATACAACTCGTCCCACCGAGGATTTATCAGGGCTCTGAGATGGCGGAAGTGCGGGAGCGTCCGGGGGGACTCCTCCATCTGGCCTCGGGACTGAGCCTGGACTTTTTTGAGGAAGTGTGCATGCGCTGCTCCGTGGATGACATATTGCGAATGCGCCAGACTTGTCGCATGCTCAAAGATCTCATCGACAACAGTAAGAGACTCTGGCTCCAGCGCCTGCATGCCGATTACGGACTGGAGCTCAAGGTGGGTGACTCCAAGGAGTTGGTGGGCAGCTTGTCCAATAGAAACGGTCTGATGGGAGCCAGTGCGATCAGAACGCACCCACATCCTCATAGCAGCAACGATCCTGATTCTTGTCCAGATGCACAAGCTCCACGATTCCGGCATGATGCAATTTGCCAAGACAGTGTACGAGGCAGACAGTGCCAGCAGCATCCGCTTCCAAGGAACATATACTAATGGAGGAGTGGACACTGACCCCGGCCTATACTGGGTGAGTCTCTTTGTGGCATTCTAATAGATGGAAAGGGCTGAGGATGGCCCTGCATTGTGGGTAGCGGCCACCATAATGCCGCACGACGCAGCATGCACTCACGCTGCGGTTGCCCATGCCTCTCCTTCGAGCACACAGGTCGACAACTTGTTCAAGCGGGATGACAGCCTCTACTGCTCCAATGTGTCTGCAAATGCCGATTGTATTGGGCTGCTTCTGGTGAGTCGAGATGCAGCTGACCTGGTGTTGTGAGGTAGCTAATCGGGTGTATTGGCATTGCTCATTGAAACGGCTGCCAAGCACCCACCTGACATTTCTCATTGGGCCCCTCTGCGCCCTCAGGATGGGTTTGTAGACAGGGAGGTATCCTACAGAGGGGTCAGGAAGTATCTGGAGCGGCGCTGTGGAGCAGCTGCCGCGGAAATGGCTCGCCGCGATGGACGAAACGATATACCCTCCATGGCAGACCTGTCGGACCGAGAGCTTGAGGCGTTCTTCTTGGGCCTGCTCCGCGCCTTGGAAGCAGTGAGTGCTCTGTGCGAGGGTGTGTCGGGGCTGTTTGCCACATGCAGCTTGATTGATGCTCATGCCGCTGGCACACGATGCCCGCGCAAGTGGCCAGCTCGCACCTTACGAGATCACCTTGCCTTGGCGTCCTCACCCTGTCCACATACCCCGTTGTCCTGGAAGAACTTGGCTGACGGAAGGCTACTGCTGAGCGGTGTGACCCTGGAGAACCAGATGGAGGAGGTACGGCAGATGGTGCACGCAGCGCACTTCATTTCCCGGCGGCCAGCGCTGATACGCGCCGATCTGTGCGGGGACGCGGACAACAAGGACGTCCTCTTTGATGCCTCGACTCTCCCCAAGCTGGAATCACCCCTCGTCCCCAGGAAACTAGGCAAGTCCCTGAAGAGAGGGACCAGGGCGTGGGGCACGCCCGCTGCCGAACAAGGGCTGTGCGGGTCTCAGGATGGGCGCTGGCAGGATTGGAGGTGGAGGTCCCCGGGTGCGGCGGCTGCTGAGTGGGCACGCCCGACACATCCCTGGACCGCAGGTATCGTGGACAAGCTGGAGCTCCTGCGCATGGGCCCCCTCACCTGCCCCGTGCGCACCCTGGCGGTGCTCATCGGGACGATCGACCTGCGGCTGCTGAGCGGTAAGGACAAGGATGCGGTGTGGAAGGCGCTGCAGGACTCTGTGGCCGAAGCCAGCAGGCTCTACCCCCTGGACGGAGTCACGGAGGTTGCCCAGCTGGAGGCAGCAGTTGAGGCGGGCCACCTGCCGCCAGTCTCCCTGGCCACTGTCGAGGTGGCGGGGGTGGTGTACCAGTTTGGCGCTGGAGCTCCGCCGGGTGCGGCCCAGGTCGGGGAGGCCAGCCAGCTCACCACGTGGAGACCGGTGCTGTGGGCTCAGTTTCACGGTCCACAGGAGGCGCAGGCGTTCTACGACGCCAACCTGGCGCCCATCGAGGCAAGCGGAACCGCACAGATCATCAGGGTCAAGGAAGGCCCGCACATGGCGACCAGCGCGCCCCCAGCCGAGGGGCACCTGGCGCACATCGGCCAGGCGCTGCGGGACAGGATGCAGCAGCCTTGGCGCGAGGCGGGGCTTCTGGAGGCTGCGATCGGGGACGAGGCTGATTCTGTAGCTGCTCAGCCAAGCAGGACTGCGCAGCCTGGAAGCCAGCGCGAGGGAGCGGCCGAGCAGGCAGCCCCTCTTGTGTCACGGCCGACTCGGCGAGGGGATGGGGCGCCCCACCCAGCCGAGGCACGGACGCCGGGGGTGCAGGAGGCAGGCGATGGGAACGGCCACATCCGGATGCGGGGATCGCCACTCGACCAATCTGACGACGAAAGCGACTCAGGTCTGGAGTACGGGATGGATGCATGGCAGACAGCTCATGGCAGTGAGGGGGAGGGCACCACAGACGGACCCTCCGACTCTGAGGATCTGGGTGAGAGTGACTCGGAGGACGAGGAGGTGGATGGAATGGAGGAGGAAGACGAAGGCCTGGAAGGTGCATTTGTCATGGAGGGTGTGGAACAGGACGACACGGCGTATCGAAATAGGTGAGCACAGGGTGAGTGGGCCCATGACTGCCTTCCTGTCCCACAATGCTTGGTGAATGCAGTGGGTTGATCACCGCGGAGGAGCTGTGGCTTACTCGTTCTGATCAAGGGAGCCTCTGCACCTTAACCCTGCCAGGATCGAAACCAACCTTGTCAGTCCCGTGGTGGGCAACATCATCCTCGTGAAGCTGATTGACCAGGAAAACATGATGAGTCGGTATGAGGACGAGCATGAGTGGCCCAACATCGATATGACACATCTTGGAGTTTACGGCAAATGTATCACACTTCCATCCTGGCTTGCACCACAATATTAGTGGACCCCTCCTTGCAGTGGCACGGTGAGAAGCTAGTTTGTAGTAATCTTCTTAATTGACGAACCAGACGTGTGTAATGGCCTCCTTTGAGTGATGGAAGGATGGAACCTACCCCCCCCCTCCCCAGTACTCTGCGGTACATCCGAGTAACCCTTCCATTGATCAGCCCAAACGCAATATGCAACGACTCTACATACGGCCACCGAGTGCTTATTCCTTCGCTATCACCGCACAAAAATCCCATCCGCGAACTCATCCGAGGTGATAGATTGCGATCGGGGTTATTCGGGTTAAGGTGCGACTAGGGATCCCTGAATCTTTTGGGGATTTCCCCGGGTCTCGTCCTGCATGCTTATCATCAGTCTCGTGGGTTATTTGGATCGCTGCGCATGCCATAACAGAGCGCTCATAATATTTGCTGCGGCGGTGGTGCTGGCAAAATCCCCTGCGTACCGGGCGCCTGTCAAGCCAACCCCGCCGTGCGGCACTCCCCTGCAGATCCATCACCATGGGCCGCAAGCGCAATGTTTCTGATCTGAAGGAGGCCGATCTTAAGGGCAAGACGGTGTTCCTGCGCGCGGACTTGAACGTCCCCCAGGTGGGGTTCCGATGCATGCACACCCATGCAGGTCTGGCAGCTGTGGGCCTGGTTCCTCACAGCACCTATTGACGGCCATGCGCACTCTCCTCACCACTCCCCTCCATCACACCCCAATCACAGGACAAGGAGACCCAGAAGATCACCGATGACACCCGCATCCGTGCCAGCCTCCCCACCATCCAGTACTTGGTGAAGAACGGTGCCAGGGTGGTGGCCACCTCGCACCTGGGCCGCCCAAAGGGCGCGGACAAGAAGACCAGCCTGGCCCCCGTGGCGGAGCGGCTGTCGGAGCTGCTGGGCACTCCCGTCGGCCTGGCCTCCGACTGCGTGGGCGAGCCGGCGCAGAGTAAGATCGCCGCGCTCAAGGACGGGGATGTGCTGCTGCTGGAGAATGTGCGCTGGCATGCGGAGGAGGAGAAGAACGACCCGGAGTTTGCCAAGCAGCTGGCTGCCGGCAGCAACATCTTCGTCAACGATGCTTTCGGCACGGCGCACCGTGCGCACGCCTCCACGGCAGGCGTGGCGGCCTACCTCAGCCCCAAGGTGGCGGGCTTCCTGCTGCAGAAGGAGCTCGACTTCCTGGCAGGGGCCATCGATGAGCCCAAGCGCCCCTTTGTCGCCATCGTGGGTGGGTCCAAGGTCTCGTCCAAGATCGGCGTGATCGAGAGCCTGCTGGGCAAGGTCGACCGTCTCATCCTCGGGTGAGTGGAACACCCTGCATGGCTAAAAGGACTGTGGACATCTGTCTCGGACATCTCCGGCTGGGGCTACGTTTGTCCCCACTCCTATTTAGACCAGGCTTGGCCTGCTGCGCATCCAGACTCTGGGTTCCTAGGCTGTGGCATTGCACGTGCTACCATCTGGACCTTTAGCTCTGAGCCTTCCAGGAAAGCCCGTCTCTTCCCTTGCTAAAAGCGGATCTCCCACAGTTCACATGCAAGGCAACACATTCCACACTCCCGTCCCTTGCAGGGGTGGAATGATCTTCACCTTCTACCGTGCTCAGGGCTACTCTGTGGGTGCCTCCCTCGTTGAGGAGGACAAGATCGATCTGGCCAAGGAACTCATTGAGACCGCCAAGGTAGGGAGGAGGTTTTTGTGCGGCATGCAAGCATTCCTTTGAGGGACTTCGTCTGAGTCTCACCGTACTCGGCATGGAGCTCGTGTTTGTTGGCCCTTGGCGTCGGTTCTCTGACTCATAGTCCTCCTTCTTAGCTCCACCAAATTTGCACTCCAATAACACATCCCATCCACAGAGTAAGGGCGTCGAACTGGTGCTGCCCAGCGATGTCATCGTCGCCGACAAGTTTGCTCCGGACGCTAACTCCAAGGTTGTCCCTATCAGCGCCATCCCCGAGGGCTGGCTGGTGAGTCTGGAGCTGAGACGTGGGAGGGAGGGCACCAACTCCGGGGAATGCCACTTCCCTCTGCTCCACTCTGTCACTATCTGCACCCCTTTGTACCTCCTTCCGCCAGGGTCTTGATGTTGGACCCGAGTCCTCCAAGACCATTGCCACTGCGCTCAAGGACGCCAAGACCATTCTGTGGAACGGGCCTCTGGGAGTGTTTGAGTTTGAGAAGTTTGCCCAGGGCACCAACAATGTGGCGCACCTCCTGGCCGACCTCACCCAGAACAATGGTTCGAGCTGGGAGCCCTGGCATGATGTGCACCTGTTCTTGATGGGGTTCCTCTATGACACCCGGGTGTCCTGATTATGGGTGTGCAGAGACATCTTGTGCCAGAGCAGCGTGACGTGGCTCTCCATCTTGTGGCATGTGGGTGCTTGCCCGCTTGTGTGCAGTCCATGTGGTACCTCTGGAATCCATTTCACCCTCCCACCGCACCACCCCACCCCCTCGTTGCAAATCACAGGTGCCATCACTATCATTGGGGGCGGCGACTCTGTTGCAGCAGTGGAGAAGGCTGGAGTGGCAGACAAGGTCAGCCACATTTCTACGGGCGGTGGAGCCTCCCTGGAACTGCTAGAGGGCAAGGTCCTTCCTGGTGCGTCGGTGGGAGGGGGTGGAGGAGGGGGGAATTAGCTGGGCCGACATGGTATCCGCCGAAGATCGGTCTCGGCCGACTCTCCCATACAACGACCTGATCCTCTGACTTGAAATCCTTACAGGTGTTGCTGCCCTGGATGATGCGTGAGCTGTTCCTAGGAACGTGGAGGAGGTGCAAGGAGGGTGATCTCACCCTGGTGTGTCTCTTCATGGAGCTCAGATCTTGAAAACTGTGAGGTGCTTATCCGATACCTGCTTCGTGCATGGCTTGTGCGATATGTACACGCATTTGCAGATTGGTGGGAGCAGCAGATTGGTGGGAGCAGCATAGAGCTTTAGAAGGGGCTTAGGAGCGGGAATGTGAAACTCAGGCGGTTGGGCCAGATGAGAGCGCAAAGAATTTCATGTGGAGTTCAGGCGGCTAGTGCAACGACATCAGCGATTCGGAGGTGGTGAGCCCATATTCCTCGGACACAGGCATCGCCACGTTTGGTGGATCGGTAGCTTCGTTCTTCATCATTCGGCCTTGCTGTGAAGAAGATCAAGGGCCAAGCTGCCAAGTTCTGCATCGGAACCCCAACAGTGCCGTACTCCGACGCCGTGACGAGAGTCCCTAGATGGAGTGATCCCATCGGAGCTGTTGGGGAAAGGCACGATCCATTACGGCACATGCATCATGAACGAGGGTGAAACCTTCATCCGGTGGGCGTTTGGCGGTCAGGAGGTCCAAGGAGGGTGGAATCAGAGGATGACGGCATACTCAGGGGTACAAACCCTGAGGACATGTTGGCTGTCAATGACTGCGCCAGCCCCTGCCCTCCACGCGCGAACCCCAATCTGTCTCCCGAGTAATACACCTTCGTCTATTCTCTCTCCTGGCAGGCCGCTGTTCCCCTCTGATCTTGAACAGCTCAAGGCGTTGCACGAGGCCTGCTTCCCCATCCAATATGAGAAGCACTACTTCCAGAACGCGGTGCATGGGAGGGCTGGCATGCGCTCCTGGGCTGCCATACATCCCTGCAGGACTAGCGGGGATGCAGAGGAGGCGCGGTCCCAGAACCAGGTGGTTGGCTTTGTGATCGCGCGCGTCAACAGTGCCTGGGATCTGACACCCGAGGAGCACGTCGGGCTTGGACTCGCACCCACAGACGGCACCCACTTGCTTTACATCCTGACTTTTGGCGTGCACGAGGTAGGCTTGGCGTGTTTGGTGCCGGCTCTTGCCACGAGTGGGGGCTGTGGTTGGGGATGGACTCAGCGACAAGGCTGCCATGGGCTGGAGGGTTGCAGCGGCAATGTGCCATTCCGGTGGATGGCTTGGCTCAGCAGGCACTGGTCGAACAGAGCGTCTCGCTCCCATCTTGCAGAAGTGGCGACGGCGGGGTTTGGGCGACCAGCTGGTGCAGGCTCTGGTTGGCTATTCCCGCCTCAATGGCCTGCGCTGCATCTATCTGCACACACTGGACCAGAATGAGGCCGCCCAGCGCTTCTACAGGCATGCTGGGTTCGTAGCCAAGCTGGAAATTCCACGATACTATTCCCTCGCGTGAGTGACGGGGGTGAGAGCACTCCATTGGTGTGACTGCGGGCAGGCAGTCCGGTGCGGGCCTGTAGTTCTCCTGCGTAACCTGCTCTCGGAAGATTGAGTGACTGTGGAGCACACTGCTGCCTCACCCCCTACGCAGGGCAAGCTCGGCATGGACCGACACCGACCATGCCGCGATCTTGTACGCGCTGGATGTAGATGTGAAGGACCCGAGACTTCCTCCTCAGTCAAATGCGGGACCCCTCCGTTCGGTCGAGTGTGGGTCCAGTACGAGACTGCCTGGGCTGCTTCCTCTAAGTCTCTGGAGAGCAGCTTTCCTTCGACTTGGCCTGGTTATTCTGAGGACGCTGCGAGTGGACCCTGCCCAAGCAAAGCTGAACCTTGTGCGTCTCTTCTCACGTCAGCAATCACGTGCCTCCTGAAGCCCAGACTACCGCTGTCATGCCATCTTCTTCACATTCTGTTACAATCCTTGGCAGCGCATGCCAGACACAGTCCTATGCCTTTGTCACCAATGCTTCTAGCTGCTTGCTGATGTCAGCGGCTGGAAGACCGTCAATGCTCACCGTCTTCTCTACCCCCAGGTCTGCAGCAAGAGTTCCACAGGAAAGGTGGCTGAGGTAAATGTCAAGTCTCGTCACAGGCAGCCAAGGTGCAATGGTTGAGCCATCACGGCACAAAGTTTGCCCCTTCTCCAAAACAGCATCCGTAGGGAATCCCAAACGTTTTATCACGTTGCTTCACGACCCTCGTCTCTCCTTTGCAGGCTCTCACCGTATCGTGCAATGAGCTTGGCCTCCACTCCAGAAGCCTCACGGATCAGGATGGGGAAGTTGGGATTGGCCTTCTTCAGGTCCTTGTAGCTCCCAAAGATGAAGTCTCTGCAGATGGTGGCGTTCCCTTGGGTACTCAGGAACTGCTTCGAGGATGAATCACAATACCATTCGTCTACAAATTGCCTCGATTTCCTTCGTACCGTGCTCCTTGGCTGTTCCTGGACGTCTGGCACAAGTGGATCCTGGGAGGAGTGCAGGACGACACCACTCAGCAAGCACCGGGAGCGGGAGCTTTCATTTCAATCATATATTAGACCATAGCCCTACCTTAGCTCCTGCAGGTTCTTGGTAAGCAGGCTTTTCCACGCCATGGGTGCAACCCCTCAGTCGAGCCACGTGGGAACAAGTGCGACACCCCGGCACCCTAGGCAGGCAGGGGGTCTGGAGATCTCAACCGTGCTCTTTGGTAGGTTTAAGGACGGCGCCTAGTCCTCACCGTGTCGTCAAGTTAGATACTGCGTCACTCGCTGGCAGAAAACGCGCACTGCTCACATCGCTACTGCGTGCTGTGTCATGCGTGAAATGCTTAGGGGCAACTCGAAAATCGCGGCAAGTCGCGGCTGTCCGTGCCACGAGTAGAAATTCCATACTCTAGAACTATCACTTAGAATTCGAGAAGCTACTCTCGTCCTGGTACCGTCCGTCTGCGCTGCCACGTTGTTTTTGGCCTCCATACGAAACAGTCACCGGGACGGCAACTTGCCTGCGACCACCCAGCCCACCCTGAGAACCTGCAATCGATGCTTGCATGAAGATGTAAGGGGTGATGTCGTGTCAGGATCGGCTTGTAATTGCTTCAAGTGGCACGGTGCGCCTCCAGGTGCTCATTAAGGCACGATTCAAATACTACTGCAGAATCGAGCACGACGGTGGCCTGCTGAGCAACGTTGAGGTCTTGCACGTACTAAGGGATCGCGAAGCCGATAAGCAAGCTGTTATCAGCAAGGCTCTACCCTCCGAGATCAAGGTGAAGGCGAGGAGTGGTGTTGCTGGGTGTTGACACGCTTCCATGCGCTCATAACTGCATGGTGACCATGTGCTGTCGTCATTTCCCTCTTCAGAGTCTTTTTCCAGCAACCCATCCGCCCCCCTTCGTGCTGCTGGCCCAGGTCTACCTGAACCTCTTGCAGCAGACGCCCACGAACAAGTCTGTGGAGGAGCTCAAGCCGTTCTTGGCAGCCGTCAAGGTGAGGGCGGAAGTCTGAGCAGATCCTCGGCGGAATGTGATGCGAGCACCACACTCATCCGAGCCTGGGCCATTCTCAAGCTTCTCATCTAATTCCTTGGCCTCGTCTGTCCAGCAGGAATTTAAACTCGAGAAGCTGGAACAGCTCCAGCTCCTCAACCACTGCCCCAGGACTCCGCTAGAGCTGTTCCAGGTGACGAGGGTGTGCACTTGCTCTTGCGGCCCCATGGGGGAGATCCTGTACCCCGCTGCCACCACCCTGCACTCCGCGGGTAGTGGACTGGCTCCCTGAGTCTGACCCCAACCCCCCCGCCCTTCCCCCCCCCGACAGTGCATCCCCGAGTGCGACCAGCGCTTCCCTGAGGAGGCCCAGGACCGCCTGCTCCGGCTCGTGGCCGAGCACCTCCTCCAGAGCAGGAGCGGCAAGGGAGCCTGAGCCCCCGGCAGCGCCGCCCCGAGCCCCTGGGCCACGAGTCACCGGCCATGGCCCAGTCCTACTACTCCCCGCTGGCCATCTCGGCGGAGGAGACGCTGGTGCGCGTGCGCCTGGAGCACGGCTGCACCGGCGTGGGCAGCGTGATTGACCCCAGCGCCGACGGCGCCGACCTGGCGCCGGGCAGCACCCTGGACGTCCCCCTGTGGCTGGCCTCCAGCCTGGCGCAGCGCGGCATGGCCCGCGTGGAGCTGCCGGTGTACTACGGCAACAAGATGCGGCGCAAGATGCGGGCGGGGGCGGGGTGTGAGGACTTGCGCGTGCGCTGCCCTCACTACTACACGGTGGCGGGGGGGCTGCACGCCGCCATGCTGGCCGGCCGCACCGCCGACGAGGGGTTCCCGGAGTTTGTCATGGCCACCTTCCGCACGCGATACAAGGTCTGCATGGGTGCGGAGGACGGCACGCTCGGCCAGGACCTGTCGTGCGTCACACCATTCCCGCCTTGCCTCCCTGCTCTGCCATGACCAACACGCCCACCGCTGCCCGCCATGCAGGAGCTGCTGTGCCGCGCGACCACCATCGACAACAACGTGGAGGCGTCGGCGCTGCAGGCCCGCCTGTCTGTGGAGGAGCTGTCGCTGTTCATGGCCGCGGCCGACGCGGCGTCCCGCCACGAGGCCTGGCGCGCGGGCGGCGAGGCCTCGCAGTCGCGCCTGGCCCGCTCCGCCAGCATGAAGCGCAAGTGGTCTGAGAATCAGGAGAACAGGGGGATGAACACCCTCACTGCCCCACCCCGGTCTGGGCAGTGACATTGTAGGGGGTGGGACATGCAATGCCTTCACCACCGGCTTGTGCAATACCTCCTCTCACCCGACTTGTCAGCATGTAATCCCTGAAGACCCTGACCACGTGGACAACAGCAACATCAAACACAGCAGTATCAGACCGATGCGGGCAAACGGAACCCTGTTGTGGCAACAGACACGCCGCAAGGAAAATGCAGACAATCTCAACGACAGAAAGGGCCGGCGCAGGAGGGGGAGCATGCGCGTCATGCTGCGCGGCTGTCTGTCCCAGGTAAGGAGGCAGACATTAGAGTAGAAATAGGGACTGGGTCCACGGGAGGTCCTGTCGTGGAGCGAGGGGGAGGAGGGACTGGAGCACGCACTGCGGCCCCACATCCTTGCTGCAGCCCAGCTGAGGGCCAACAGGGAGCCTACACAGCACCGCGCTGCTTTGCCATCGCCCTGTCGACGCTGACCACACTTCATCAGCCTCCATTATCCCAGCTCACCTCCGCGCTCAGGGGTCGGTCTGGCGTGTCCTCCCGCCGCGGCGACGGCTGAGTGGGAACCGGATGCTGCCACCGCCATGGCCAGCTGCATGGCCAGGGCCGCCTGAATCTGGGACGTGGCATCGGGGTCCGATGGGTCCAGCCCCGCGGCCAGGGTCATCGCCTGGATTAAGGCGTACTCCTGGAGCATGCCGCCGCCGTGCGGTGGCTGTGCGCGGTACTGCCCGTGCAAGGGCTCGGCCAGCGTCCCAGCGGCGGGGGGTGCCGAAGTGGGGTACAGGCCAGCAGGGAGGACGAGGCCCCCGCCCGAGTATCCGGGGAAGGAGGAGCCGAGCAGCGCTGGAGCCGTGGCATGGAGGCCGGCGGCCCCCTCGCTCGACCTCTGCTGGGAATTCTGGATGTGTCGGGGGGCGGCTGGAGCGGCGCCAGCCCCACGATCAGACCGCAGCTGGGCCCGCCGTCGCTTCTTGCTTGCGCTGTTCAGCAGCGTCGCACAGCTGGAGGGTCATGGAAAGGGGGTGAGGTGAGAAGGAGTGGGGCTGAGTACGGTGCCTGATGCGTGGGCCACACGGCGTCCCTCTGCACCTGCAATGTGCCCGTGCGCTGAGCACACCCTGACTCGGTGGCCGAGAACAGCACTTTCGCCTCCCCTTCATGCCCTGCAAAAAATTGCGCAGGGCTCCTGCGCACCTTCTGCAATAGGAGTAGAGCCCGTCGGTGTTCATCCTGCTCTTAAAATACTGGTCTGCTGGCTTGACGAGGCCACAGTGCCGACACTCCTTCTCCTGCACCTGTGTTTTTGTGGGAGGGACAGAAGGGGCTGAGGCGCAGGGCTTCAGGACTGGCCCCCAGCGCTGATCCCAATGAGGAAAAGCCGCACGTGCCCGCCCGCACGGCCCTGGGCCCTGGGGATGACACCACATGCACAGCACTCAGCAGCGCATGCTCCTGCACAGCCCATACACTTCCCACCTGAGGCCTCAAGACGTCGGGACGCTTGGCCCGCGCCTGCTTGTTGAGTTCCTTCTGGCAAGCCTTGCAGTATGTGCACAGGCCATCCAGGCTCAGCTTGCTGTGGAAAAACAGATCGGAGGCCTTGACCTCTGAGCAGCGACGGCACAGCTTCTGCTCCACGCGCACGACGAGCGGCCCGTTCTTGTCACGCTTGGCCCCCCTGCCGAGCGCCACCTCGCACTCCTGCACACAGTGGCGGAAGCTGAGAGGTAGCAGCTCATGCAGCCAGAAATTCCACTGCGCACGGCTGCCCCACCGATGGATCCGCCGGCCCCGCTTCAGGCCGCGAAGCCTGGGTCTCCCATCACAGGGTCTTCCCACCTTGCACCGATTTTGCAGACGGTCGGTCTTGTTCTTGCTTCCCCTGAAAACAGCCAGCTCCTTGGTCTGCGCAAGAGGTCAACAGGAGGTGCTTGAGGGCTGCCCCTTGGCAAGGGAGGGTGCGGGCCTGACCCCTTGCGTCCGCTGCAGGCACCCCCTTGAGATTGAAAAGTTTAGGAAGCGATGCACCTCACTCACCGTGCCACAGTGCATGCAGGTCTTGGTGTCGGCATGATGCGCTTCGCACCCCGAAAGTGGGTGTGGGGCAAGAGGAGCAGCGTCCTGCTCCTTTGGGCCTCCGACTTTGGGCTCTGGGGTGGCAATCAGCGGCACCCCGCAGCCTTTTCCAAGACAACCCCTGGACGCAAGAGGAGAAGGCACCATTTTGGTTGGTGGAGGGACACCTTCCGCTCAAGCCCCTGGCCTAAGCTTCAAAAGCCCACACACAAGCTGAGTCTCTCATAGCACCTCAACACCAATGCCCAGCCCTGCAGCCTGTGCACCCGACCCACTCACAGGCATGTACTGGAACTGGCATCCTGGCCAGGATTTTGGCCTCTGGTCACGCCGCACTTGTCGCATCGCATTGTGGCGCATGCCGCATCCGCCGGAGGGCCGTCGCCACCGCCATCTCCCACATACTGGAGCATCTGCGGACCAGATCCTGCTGCAAGCGCGGCTGCGTCAGCATCCACGACCTGAGCGGCAAGCAGAGCCTGCATCTGGGCGTGCTCCTCATACCGACAGGTGTGGCAGCGGTCACTAAACATGGGAGCGTCTGGGCCACCCTCGACGAACGACTCAGCGGGGAAGTGGCCCTCGCAGTGGGGGCAGGTATAGAGGACCAGGGATGTGGGACCAGAGGCGTCATGAGGAAGCTCTGGTCCCCCAGAATCTGCATGCATGTTGGGACCAGCCTTGATAACCCTCAAGGGTAGGCGGGAAGTGGCTCTGAAACAAGAGTTTTCCACGTGGGGCTGGGCTGGGCGCACGGGCGATCCTCCAGCCGCTCTTCTGAAGCCTGAGGAGGAGCGACTGATGGGTTTCTTAACAATCAGCGCCTTCGGGCCGATTAGCTATCCTTGGAGAGAGTCGAGGAAGGCCAGGCGGGTGCAGTTGTACGAGCTATGACTGAGGCCCGACCTCGGAAGCCTTCTCTAGAACCACCCACTACGAAACGGGCTTCGTTCTTCCGGCATCCATTCTGTCCCGCGTTCGCGGGGACCTATTGCCGTGCATCGTCTGTCACAACATATGCTTCGAGCGAGCCAAACATATGTCGCTACCGGGCTTGCGCCGGTTGCACAGCTGCTTCCCGCAAGCGGGATCTGACTGGCGCAGTTGGTTGCCTCCAGAGGCGAACCAGGGGTGGGGGGGGCGGGAGGAAAGGAAGGGGAAGCAGGGGGGCCACCAAATGCAGTGGGACGCGACGCCCCAGCAAAAAAGCACTTGGTCAACATCAGCATGTTGGCCGCTCCGTTCACGTCGCGGTTCACGACGTTGACCTTGCAGGCCTTGTTCGTGCACCGCTTCGTGTCCCACACGTCCATCAGCTTCTCCTCACCATTGCGGACCCGCACGTACTGGTGGGCGTGCAGGGTGGCGTGACAGGCGCAACACAGCTTTGATGACCTGTGCTCGTCAACCACCACCACCCTGCACACGCGCCGCAAGCGCCGCAAGGAACGTATCCAGGGCCTCGGCGGAGTCCCCCGCATGATCCCCCCTCCGTCCTGGGCCGACCAGTTGCCCACGCCCACGACTGTAGTCATGCCGGGGGCCGCGCGGAACTGCTCCGCCAGCCGGGTGATTGCCCGCTCCCTGCCGACGTAGGCCTGGTGCCGCACCTTCCGGAATGGCTTCTTGTCTCGGTGCCAGGCCAGGCCCTGTCGCAAGGTGGGGACGATCCACGCGACCCTCGACAGGAGCACCGCTGTGCTCGCTGTCTTGTAGGTCGGGCACCTGTGGGAAGATGGTTTTGAGCAAGAGGGTTGGTGATACTGTTGGAGCGATGCGGGGTGTCGTGACACAGTGCCTGCCCCTGCAGGGCATATCCCTGCATACACTCCACAAACCAATCACCACTCACTGGTGCAGCTTCTTGACTAAGGGTGGGGCGTCCGCGTGCCACTTCGCAATGAGCCCCTCCCGCCGCTTGGCCCCCGACATGGCGCGGAACTCCTTGGAGGAGCAGGATGTAACGTTGGCATGTTCATCGATAGCCGTGAACATCTTGGTTCGGCCGGGGTCGATGCCAACATACTTGTGTATCCTAGCCTCCTCTGGAGGAGGGTCCCGCCTGCAAATTTTAGTGAGGGGGGGTGGTGGTATGGGGTGAGTTGTGTTGTGGGAGCGCGGCACGTGTGGGTGGTTGGCGGGTGAGCGGGTAGTTGCATACGGTAACGCACGTCGCTGCTGGTAAACAGCACACCCGCAGTC